TGCAGTGCTAGCTGTAGTTTATGCTTTCAGTTCTACATTAATTCTCTGATCCTTTGATTGGGTGGACAACATGTCAGTTCATGCTGCAAGAGCTCTGATTGGTTGGAGGACATCCTCCAGAAGTTGTCATAATTACTGTGTAAGTCTATGGAAGGGGGTGAGAACCATGAGCCTCCTAGGTTTTGTATTGAAGTCAATGTACACAGAGGAGGACGGAAGCTAGCTGTCCTCCGGCTACACCATGGTGCTACCCGACAGAGTGCTGTGGAGGCTAATGTAGACCTTTGCAAAATAGTGTTTTAATAAATTATTTGGTGACGTGATTATATTTAGTATAGTTTTATCTGAAAAGGTTAACTTTTTGAAATGTTTAAAAATATTTATTTTATTAAATTCATTGAGGATAGTCCTCCCTTTCCTCCTCTGAGGAGCCTCCACTGGTCCTGATGTACTATGCTGACTGCTTCTATATGTATTATTTTGTAAATATATTCTGTTAATAGTTCACTAAAGTTAATTGCAACGTACTGGCCGCTTACTCGTCTGAGTGCCAGAGGGTGGCTGCGTGCCAAACTATTGTCAAAAGTCTGATAAGGTGCACTTAATGGTTTCAGATGGCACTCTATCCCCGCTCTTTCAAAGAGAAAGTGAAATTTTTTAAAATTCGGTGCGGCGATAGTGCGGTATTTGAACTAGGGCAAACTCTAGTCAATCTATAAAGCTGAAGTGTTACAGATTCTGCGATAGAAATTGAAGGTCATTTCTGATTGAGCTGACATATGCAGCTTTTACCGTGAATGCAGTCTCCATTCAGTTCACTAGGCCTATCCCTCCCTCTCTCCCTAAATGTTCAATAAATAGGTATTGTTTTAATCTAAGAAAAATTGGATTTATTTACTTAGGCTATTCATAGCATTTGGAATAACAAAGTAGCTACATTTCCATGCATTGTATATGGCATAAAAGTGATATGGTGTGTAGCGTAACTGACGGTACAGTCTTCCATCTGGTGCTGATGTGACCCTGATGATGCGAAATGCACTTTCCTATATGTCCAGCCGGTGGCAGGATGTACATGGTCTGTTTCAGAGAACACAAAAACAAAATATCGTAGGCCTACAGTGAGGGAAAACAAGTATTTGATCCCCTGCTGATTTTGTATGTTTGCCCACTGACAAAGAAATTATCAGTCTATAATTTTAATGGTAGGTTTATTTGAACAGTGAGACAGAATAACAACCAAAAAATCCAGAAAAACGCATGTCAAAAATGTTATAAATTGATTTGCATTTTAATGAGGGAAATAAGTATTTGACCCCCTCTCAATCAGAAAGATTTCTGGCTCCCAGGTGTCTTTTATACAGGTAATGAGCTGAGATTAGGAGCACACTCTTAAAGGGAGTGCTCCTAATCTCAGCTTGTTACCTGTATAAAAGACACCTGTCCACAGAAGCAATCAATCAATCAGATTCCAAACTCTCCACCATGGCCAAGACCAAAGAGCTCTCCAAGGATGTCAGGGACAAGATTGTAGACCTACACAAGGCTGGAATGGGCTACAAGACCATCGCCAAGCAGCTTGGTGAGAAGGTGACAACAGTTGGTGTGATTATTCGCAAATGGAAGAAACACAAAATAACTGTCAATCTCCCTCGGCCTGGGGCTCCATGCAAGATCTCACCTCGTGGAGTTGCAATGATCATGAGAACGGTGAGGAATCAGCCCAGAACTACACGGGAGGATCTTGTCAATGATCTCAAGGCAGCTGGGACCATAGTCACCAAGAAAATAATTGGTGACACACTACGCTGTGAAGGACTGAAATCCTGCAGCGCCCGCAAGGTCCCCCTGCTCAAGAAAGCACATATACATGCCCGTCTGAAGTTTGCCAATGAACATCTGAATGATTCAGAGGAGAACTGGGTGAAAGTGTTGTGGTCAGATGAGACCAAAATGGAGCGCTTTGGCATCAACTCAACTCGCCGTGTTTGGAGGAGGAGGAGGAATGCTGCCTATGACCCCAAGAACACCATCCCCACCGTCAAACATGGAGGTGGAAACATTATGCTTTGGGGGTGTTTTTCTGCTAAGGGGACAGGACAACTTCACCGCATCAAAGGGACGATGGACGGGGCCATGTACCATCAAATCTTGGGTGAGAACGGCCAAGGCAACAAAGGAGTGGCTCAAGAAGAAGCACATTAAGGTCCTGGAGTGGCCTAGCCAGTCTCCAGACCTTAATCCCATAGAAAATCTGTGGAGGGAGATGAAGGTTCGAGTTGCTAAACGTCAGCCTCGAAACCTTAATGACTTGGAGAAGATCTGCAAAGAGGAGTGGGACAAAATCCCTCCTGAGATGTGTGCAAACCTGGTGGCCAACTACAAGAAACGTCTGACCTCTGTGATTGCCAACAAGGGTTTTGCCACCAAGTACTAAATCATGTTTTGCAGAAGGGTCAAATACTTATTTCCCTCATTAAAATTCAAATCAATTTATAACATATCTGACATGCGTTTTTCTGGATTTTTTGGTTATTCTGTCTCTCACTGTTCAAATAAACCTACCATTAAAATTATAGACTGATAATTTCTTTGTCAGTGGGCAAACGTACAAAATCAGCAGGGGTTCAAATACTTTTTTCCCCTCACTGTACATGTATGTGACAGTGATTCCATTCAGCTTTTGTTTACAAAAAGACTCAATATCATCATACTTTCAAATACTTAATCTTAACAGAAATCAATCCTTTAAATAAAAATGTTTTAAAACAATGGAATAACTCATTTTGTTCATTTATACAGGTAATAGGCCTAAATAGTTTATAAGTAACAACATAGTGCTTTAAAGCTGAGGATTTTACAATGTGTACAGCATAAAAATCCACAATACAACATAACATTCTTAGAGATCAGATATGGGCAAAACTGTAGCCTCAGTCACAAATGAGTTCTATTTTGTAACCACTTCCACACTGTAATAAGACTCAAATCAATAATAATAATCAGCATGATCTTAAAACATTTTTAAAAAACACAAAAACTTGAAGCAGCATGTACAAGGGCCTTCCAAATCCAGTTCTGTTCTAAGCCAACCAATGTCCACTCAGTTTTTTCCAGTTCTAATAAATATGGTCAAAGTTTAAACATTTTCACACCTAAACAAGCAAATTAAATTCTCATTCTAAAGCAAGCCTTATCAAACCCACCTTTCTGGAAGAGAATAGTACTCTTTTGTCAAAATCTTCTGGTTGCGATGTTGGAACCTGCTTTAGGAATCATCATTCCTGATAGACTGCTTTGACCAGATAGTCCTCATAAGGATATAAATGACAGTCAATTTACTTTCTGAAATTCTGAATGCAATTCATTTCAATTGCACCTTCAAAAAACCATCCCCTTACTGTTACTATACAGGTACTGTGGCTACAGGCTAGAAAATAGTTCACAGTCCAAAAATGGCACCCTATGTCCCTATTCCCTAGTGCACTACTTTTGAAAAGAGCCCCTATGCGCCCTTGTCAATAGTAGTAAATGGAATAGTAGGGAATAGGGTGCCATTTGGGAACCAATTTGACCTGGGTAGTGTCTTAACTCTGGTCCAGCATGTATTGGTTGTCACTGTGGTTAGAATGCCTGTTTTAACTACAGGATGTGTCTCTCTCTGTAGCAGAGGAGGGACAAATGTCTCACTGGGGTGAAAACAAGCCCTGTGCCCAGGATAACTGCTGCCAGTGATGCTCTGAACCAATCAGAGTCCACTAACCCCCTCTGTAATACAGCCCTGACACATACCTCCTCACACTAATGAGCATGGCACTTAGCTCAACAAACCAAGCACTACTAGTGAACAAGATGACAAAATCTGATTAGTGCTTTCCAATGAATGTGTAGGTCTGAATTCTCATCAAATAATTGCTTTTCCTTGCCTCTTTTCGATCATGGCCGTCAACATAGGGTTAGATCTTTTTAACGTCACCTATCAAGTTCTTTAAATATCAGCACTCATGAAGGAAAGGAGACAAGGAAAGGAAGCTATTTGTTACTATTGGGACGTTGCCTTAGAGAAGAGGGCCATAGAACACGTCACAGATGTTTCTCCATTAGATTAGTAGAACACAGACTACTTCACGGTACTATGTCAAAAGAAAGAAACTGATACGAACAATGCAAGAAAAAAAAACATGGCAATTTAAAAAGATTGTCATTCACAACACAAATTCCATCAGTGTTGTTTCCTTCATATATGCAATACATAAAGCCTTCCCAATGCAGATTTATACACTTAAAAAATATGTAGGCATTTTTTTTCCGGATATAAAGAAAGCTCGCTGTAAAGGGGTATTTCCTCAACAATACTTATGGCACTCATTTTAAACATCATTCTGTGTGTTTAAATTAGTTAGTATGGATCAGCAGCGTTCAGTCTTAGAAAATAGCTGAACGGCTAAATATGTAAATCATCATCCACTACAAACCAAACCTTTCCGCCTCATTTCTCAATCCTTTTTCCATCTCATACACATGAATCTGACTGAGCAATCATTGGCCCTGTCTCAATACCTGCCTCCTTACAAACACAACTGCTTTCTGACCTATGTCCTTGCTCAATCGAAACTGTCTTATCCCAGAGTCCCTCAGCCATTTAGGCACACATCAGCTAGAATGGAATGCACTTAAAGGGGCAATATGCAGTTGCTACATCATTTTTAAAAACTTAAATTAATATGTGCCCAATGATTCTTGAAGAATATAAAACTTATAAATGCATCATGAGCTTAGTTCAACTGTCGTATCCCATCAGAACTTAAAATATAAGCTTGTTTTACTCCAATGTTTGTAAACAAAGTAAATGTAAAAGCCAATGTAAACAAACACTGTATAGCCTCAAAACATGGTTCAAACTATAATTTTGATATCATGGATGGTCAGTCCTTGCATCCATAGCTCTGTCTATGAATTTGAGAGTGGTTACATTTCTCCAGCCCCATTCCTCAGCTTTTTAACGCAACAGTGGCAGAGAAAACGCTTTGTTATTATTTCAACTGCGGATTGCACATTGTGTGAGCCACGTCTGGTATAGTACTATATGGGAGAGATAGATGGGGGGGGGGGAAAGTATTAATAATTTGCAGTTTGTGACAAAAACAATTTCAATATGTTGAAGGGACCGTTCCTTTTAAGGATATATTTTTTTTAAAGCCGAATGTTCAGTATAACATCTTGGATAAGCATTGGTAGGTGGACAATTCCATCAATTCCAGGTATGTCCAAACACCTCAATGGGTGTGTGTGTATTCTTTCACATGATTTATCTTAGTTAGATATTCTAGCCTCACTAATAACTCAAGAAGTTGTATGTATTTAACAGTAAAGATTCTTTGGTAGACACCTGTCTAACACAACATGATGTGTGTAGCTATTGAATGACTTTAGCTCTTTGGATACAAATACCCAGGTTTCCCCAAAGTGGGGTTTGTGGAACAATGTGGGTAAAATAAAATTAACTCCCTTTTAAATCGAAACATGGTCTTAGTGTCAGGCCTATTGCTCGGTCAAATAGAAGAGCAAAGGAGAAATCCTAAACCACCACAGTAGGGACATGGTAACACTTCTACACTCCTTAGATGCAAGTGCAGTGCCACAAAGATGCCCTTCATTAAAAAAAGTGACCATTCTCATCTTCCACGGTCAAGCAGACAACAAACAGTATTCTCAATCAAAACATTAGTCAAGTCCTTCTTTATAAAGACCATCATCATCTAGCACACACATCGTAAAAACTCAAAAATCTGTGATAAAAATAGATCTGTAATTAATGATATTGATATACAATAATCAGATATAGATTTTAACTGCAGCTTCAACATGGTTTTGCTATATAGAGCAAGGTACTGTACTGTAAAAGTGCTGGGTTTCATGTCAGTAATCATATAGTGTAGAAACCTTACAGTGAAATCTCAATAATACTGTTCAAGAGGGAAACACACACACACACACAAAGTCATGCGATCCTTTCATTGTCAGGTTTCATTGCAGTCTCGCCTCCATTAACACTTTGAAAAAGGGCCATCTGCCAGCACTGCCATTTTGGAGCTAAAGGCCACAGTTGCTCCAACGCACTGCAGTTTGCAAGAGCGTTGAGGAAACTGGATAATCTCGGCTCCTCGTGTCCGACACAAACGTTTGGGGGGGTGCTGAGGTTTGCACTTAGATGAGCCTGGAGTTGCGGAGGAACTGGATAAGGACTTTGTAAATGAAGGTGTATTGTGAGATGGTCTGCACCATCATCATACGCTGCTGCCGGAGCATGTTCAGAACGGTCGGGACGTCCAGCATCTGGAGGAAAGAGGGGGAAACAGGACACAGACACGTTAAAAAAGTAGTACGTTATTGGATTGGTTCAGGGGCCTATTGATCTAAACCAGGGATGGGCAACTTTGATGGGGGTGGGAACCACCAAAAATCTGAACTCATCATGAGGGGCCGCAGTTGCCCACCCCCCCATTGCGAGCAAAACATTTTAGTGGCCCGCCTCTTGACAGGGGAGAGAATTTCGAATGAATGTGTAGGTCTAATTTCGTACAATTCTACACATTGTGCCATGGGGTGTAGAAAAATGTAGCAGTTTTAAGGCAAGTTTGCTGCAATTCTATACATTTTGCCATGGGGTGTAGAGAAAATGTAGCAGTTCTAAGGCAAGTTTGCTGCAATTCTATACATTTTGCCATGGGGCGGAGAGGAAAATTAGCTGTTTTACAGCTAATTTCCTGTAATTCTACACATTTTGCCATAGGGTGTAGAGAAATGTTTTTAGTTTTTAATATATCTAAGTGAGACTAACAAAATCAGTGGGGGCCCCCCGGCCGGTAATTCGACCAAGATAACAAGTTTAGATTGCTGGCCGCTAAACTAATTTAGCAATCTAAAAATTGTTAGCCGACATGGGCTAATTGACTGACTATCAGTGACTGCTGACATAAGAGAAAACTGCTGATGCAAAACCACATTTTGAAATTGCACTTTGTGTATTTTACTAGTCTAACTCGCAACAGTAAGTTGAAACCCCGACTGAGTTCCTAAAAAAAGTATTAGTAGTAGTTGTTTGGGGGGGAAATTGATCCGAGGGCCTTCAAAAGGGGGGCCCGCGGACCGCCAGTTGCCCATCCCTGATCTAAACTGCGGTGCGGTGTGATAAATGCCTGCATTACTGATGGAATAGACTAGGATTCAATCATGGCGACATGATTCACGCTGTCCTAACATAAAACAAAGAGATGCATGAACCTTTACAGAATCATGTTTTTAGGCGTTCTACAGTGCATTCGAAAGTATTCAGACCCCTTGACGTTACAGCATTATTCTAAAATTGATTAAATCGTTTTTTCCCCTCCTCAATACCCAATAACGACGAAGCAAAAATAAGTTTTTAGAAATGTTAGCAAATGTATTTAAAATAAAACGGAAATATTAAATTTACATAACTATTCAGACCCTTTACTCAGTACTTTGTTGAAGCACCATTGGCAGCGATTACAGCCTCGAGTCTTCTTGGGTATGATACTACAAGCTTGGCACACCTGTATTTGGGGAGTTTCTCCCATTCTTCTCTGTAGATCTTCTCAAGTTCTGTCTGGTTGGATGTGGAGCGTCGCTGCACAGCTATTTTCAGGTCTCTCAAGAGATGTTCGATCGGGTTAAAGTCTGGGTTCTGGCTGGGCCACTCAAGGACATTCAGATACTTGTTGCGTGTGCTTAGGGTCGTTGTCCTGTTGGAAGGTGAACCTTCGCCCCAGTCTGAGTTCCTGAGCACCCTGGAGCAGGTTTTCATCAAGGATCTCTCTGTACTTTGCTCCGTTCATCTTTCCCTCGATCCTGACTAGTTTCCCAGTCCCTGCCGCTGAAAAACATCCCCCCAGCATGATGCTGCCACCACCATGCTTCACTGTAGGGATGGTGCCAGGTTTCCTCCAGACGTGACGCTTGGCATTCAGGCCAAAGAGTTCAATCTTGGTTTCATCAGACCAGAGAATCTTGTTTTCATGGTCTGAGAGTCCTTAAGGTGCCTTTTGGCAAACTCCAAGCGGGCTGTCATGTGCCTTTAACTGAGGAGTGGCTTCCGTCTGGCCACTCTACCATAAAGGCCTGATTGGTGGAGTGCTGCAGAGATGGTTGTCCTTCTGGAAGGTTCTCCCATCTGGAGCTCTGTCAGAGTGACCATCGGGTTCTTGGTCACCTCCCTTACATTTACATTTTAGTCATTTAGCAGACGCTCTTATCCAGAGCGACTTACAGTTAGTGAGTGCATACATTATTTTTTTATTTTTCATACTGGTCCCCCGTGGGAATCGAACCCACAACCCTGGCGTTGCAAATGCCATGCTCTACCAACTGAGCTACATCCCTGCCGGCCATTCCCTCCCCTACCCTGGACGACGCTGGGCCAATTGTGCGCCGCCCCATGGGTCTCCCGGTCGCGGCCGGCTACGACAGAGCCTGGATTCGAACCAGGATCTCTAGTGGCACAGCTAGCACTGCGATGCAGTGCCTTAGACCACTGCGCCACTCGGGAGTAACCTTGTTTCTCATGGTCTGAATCCTTTAGGTGCCTTTTGGCAAACTCCAAGCGGGCAGTCATGTGCCTTTTACTGAGGAGTGGCTTCCGTCTGGCCACTCTACCATAAAGGCCTGATTGGCGGAGTACTGCAGAGATGGTTGTCCTTCTCCACAGAGGAACTCTGGAGCTCTGTCAGAGTGACCATCGGGTTCTTGGTCACCTCCCTGACCAAGGCCCTTCTCCCCTGATTGCTCAGTTTTGCCGGACAGCAAGCTCTACGAAGAGTCTTGGTGGTTCCAAACTTCTTCCATTTAAGAATGATGGAGGCCACTGTGTTCTTCAATGCTGCACACATTTTTTGGTACCCTTCCCCAGATCTGTGCCTTAACTGTGGGACCTTATATAGACAGGTGTGTGCCTTTCCAAATGATGTCCAATCAATTTAATTCATCACAGTTGGACTCCAATCAAGTAGTAGAAACATTTCAAGGACGATCTATGGAAACAGGATGCACCTGAGCTCAATTTCGAGTCTCATAGCAAAGGGTGTGAATACTTATGTACAGTGGGGGAAAAAAGTATTTAGTCAGCCACCAATTGTGCAAGTTCTCCCACTTAAAAAGATGAGAGAGGCCTGTAATTTTCATCATAGGTACACGTCAACTATGACAGACAAAATGAGAAAAAAAAATCCTGAAAATCACATTGTAGGATTTTTAATGAATTTATTTGCAAATTATGGCGGAAAATAAGTATTTGGTCAATAACAAAAGTTTCTCAATACTTTGTTATATACCCTTTGTTGGCAATTTACACAGGTCAAACGTTTTCTGTAAGTCTTCACAAGGTTTTCACACACTGTTGCTGGTATTTTGGCCCATTCCTCCATGCAGATCTCCTCTAGAGCAGTGATGTTTTGGGGCTGTCACTGGGCAACACGGACTTTCAACTCCCTCCAAAGATTTTCTATGGGGTTGAGATCTGGAGACTGGCTAGGCCACTCCAGGACCTTGAAATGCTTCTTACGAAGCCACTCCTTCGTTGCCCGGGCGGTGTTGGTTTTGCTGAAAGACCCAGCCACGTTTCATCTTCAATGCCCTTGCTGATGGAAGGAGGTTTTCACTCAAAATCTCACGATACATGGCCCCATTCATTCTTTCCTTTACACGGATCAGTCGTCCTGGTCCCTTTGCAGAAAAACAGCCCCAAAGCATGATGTTTCCACCCCCATGCTTCACAGTAGGTATGGTGTTCTTTGGATGCAACTCAGCATTCTTTGTCCTCCAAACACGACGAGTTGAGTTTTTACCAAAAAGTTCTATTTTGGTTTCATCTGACCATTTGACATTCTCCCAATCCTCTTCTGGATCATCCAAATGCACTCTAGCAAACTTCAGACGGGCCTGGACATGTACTGGCTTAAGCAGGGGGACACGTCTGGCACTGCAGGATTTGAGTCCCTGGCGGCGTAGTGTGTTACTGATGGTAGGCTTTGTTACTTTGGTCCCAGCTCTCTGCAGGTCATTCACTAGGTCCCCCCGTGTGGTTCTGGGATTTTTGCTCACCGTTCCTGTGATCATTTTGACCCCACGGGGTGAGATCTTGCGTGGAGCCCCAGATCGAGGGAGATTATCAGTGGTCTTGTATGTCTTCCATTTCCTAATAATTGCTCCCACAGTTGATTTCTTCAAACCAAGCTGCTTACCTATTGCAGATTCAGTCTTCCCAGCCTGGTGCAGGTCTACAATTTTGTTTCTGGTGTCCATTGACAGCTCTTTGGTCTTGGCCATAGTGGAGTTTGGAGTGTGACTGTTTGAGGTTGTGGACAGGTGTCTTTTATACTGATAACAAGTTCAAACAGGTGCCATTAATACAGGTAACGAGTGGAGGACAGAGGAGCCTCTTAAAAAAGTTGTTACAGGTCTGTGAGAGCCAGAAATCTTGCTTGTTTGTAGGTGACCAAATACTTATTTTCCACCATAATTTGCAAATAAATTCATAAAAAATCCTACAATGTGATTTTCTGGATTTTTTCCCCCGCAATTTGTCTGTCATAGTTGACGTGTACCTATGATGAAAATTACAGGCCTCTCTCATCTATTTAAGTGGGAGAACTTGCACAATTGGTGGCTGACTAAATACTTTTTTTCCCCACTGTACATGTAGAAATTAGTTCGTTTTTTACCTCGTTGTGTTCCAGACAGGCGATCATAATCTCAGTGAGTATGACCACCCCGGTGCGGCCCACTCCAGCGCTACAGTGGACCAGCACAGGTAGGTTGGTATTCTTTGGGTCGCTGGTGCTGTTGGTGTGTCTCCTCACTGACTGGATCTCCTCCAGGTATGCTGGAAAATAATAAATATATATAAATATATATATAAATAAAATGATGATTTATTATATGAACCAAACTTTTATTTATTTTTAAATTTTAGGGGGTAGATCAGCTTTAATATTGCAGATAGATTGTAATTGTCTGCATCCCTTCCAATCCCCCATATGTTTTTGTTTCTTGCATACATACACACACATATACACACACACACACACATATATATATATATATAGCTCTGAAAAAAATTAAGAGACCACTGCAAAATTATCAGTTTCTCTGGTTTTACTATTTATAGGTATGTGTTTGGGTAAAATCGTTTTTCTTGTTTTATTCTATAAACTATTGACAACATTTCTCCCAAATTCCAGATAAAAAATATTGTAAAGAGCATTTATTTGCAGAAAATGACAACTGGTCAAAATAATAAAAAATATGCAGTGTTGTCAGACCCCGAATAATGCAAAGAAAATAAGTTCATGTTCATTTTTAAACAACACTAGAGTTCAGAAATCTATATTTGGTGGAATAACCCTGATCTTCAATCACAGCTTTCATGCGTCTTGGCATGCTCTCCACCAGTCTTTCACATTGATGTTGGGTGACTTTATGCCACTCCTGGCGCAAACATTCAAGCAGCTCGGCTTTGTTTGATGGCTTGTAACCATCCATCTTCCTCTTGATCACATTCCAGAAGTTTTCAATGGACTTCACGTCTGGAGATTGGGCTGGCCATGACAGGGTCTTGATCTGGTGGTCCTCCATCCACACCTTGATTGACCTGGCTGTGTGGCATGGCACATTGTCCTGCTGGAAAAACCAATCCTCAGAGTTGGGAAACAATGTCAGAGCAAAAAGAAGCAAGTTTTCTTCCAGGACAACCTTGTACATGGCTTGATTCATGCAAAGACAAATCTGCCCGATTCCAGCCTTGCTGAAGCACCCCCAGATCATCACCGATCCTCCACCAAATTTCACAGTGGATGCGAGACACTGTGGCTTGTAGGCCTCTCCAGGTCTCCGTCTAACCATTAGACGACCAGGTGTTGGGCAAAGCTGAAAATTGGACTCATCAGAGAAGACCTTACTCCAGTCCTCTATGGTCCAATCCTTATGGTCTTTTGCAAACCTCAGCCTGGCTCTTCTTTGCTTCTCATTGATGAAGGGCTTTTTTCTAGCTTTGCACGACTTCAGCCCTGCCCCTAGGAGCCTCTTTCGAACCGTCCCCGCCGTGCACTTCAACCCCGTGCACTTCAACCCAGCTGCCGTTTGCCATTCTTTTTGTAGGTCACTTGATGTCATCCTACGGTTGTTGAGTGACATTCGAATGAGTTGGCGGTCATCCCGGTCAGTAGAGAGTCATTTTCGCCCTCTGCCGGTCTGTAGCTTTGTTGTCCCCAATGTCTGCTGCTTGACCTTGTTCTTATGAACCGCCGTCTTTTAAGTTTTAAGGATGGAAGCAACCTGACGCTCAATGTATCCCTCTGCCAGTAAAGCCAGAATTGAACCCTTCTTTTCCTCACTCAAAACTTTCCTTTTCAACTCTTTTGGCATGGTCAATAGTTATTTTTTGATTAATATTACCTTTGAAGGTACTTTTAGCACAGTTTTTGCCATCCAGCTGGTCCTATTGCAAGAGGATAGTGATGACCACAGCACTGGTGTTTATACTTTTCCTCATTAAATAAGATTTGGTTCAGGTGATCACCTAATCAGTTCCTAATTCAGTAGAATGAGGTGTGCCTGTGTTGGAATTCAACAGACACTGGAATGGAATGGCTGTCATACATGTAGAGATGCTGATTTAAGAAAATATATATTTAAAAAAAGGATTTTATATATATACATACACACACACACACACACACACACACACACACATCCTTTAAAAAATATATATTTCCCTTTATTACTTTCCAACCCCACCACCCCTTCCCTAATTGGAGTATACTAGTGAACAACAATGCTTAGGCCTCTACTTCCAGCTTATACATACTATATAAATTTTTGGACACAGTCAATTTTACAATAATTATATTTTGTTTGTTTTTACTCCTGAACTTTCTCTACCCTCAACCTCTCCGATCATTTTCATGATGTCCATCCGGTTTGCTTCTATATGCCATATCTTTCTAACTGTGCTCTTTCACAAAAGCTCTCAACCTATATTAACCAAACTCTTAATGAAAAGAGGATTTTACAACACAAAATGCCAAGTTATCACCCCTTTAAATTAGACTGGAACTGCCTTCTTGACCTCTCCCTTGGAATAGAGATTTACAATCTTAAAGGGCCTTCCTGGTTTGATTACACGTTACATCTAAATTCCAACCGATCCACTCACAGAGGAAGCCCTTGAAGTCCTCGGGGCAGCCGTGGTCAGGCCAGTCTGTGTACTGCAGGTGCCATACGGTGCGCTCCTGGCCCGTCAGCAGGTGTTTGATCTTCAGGCCTGTGGTGGCATAGCAGCCTGAGTCCGTCCTGAAGCGCGTGGTGATCTTAAAGCGTCCGTATGTCACCGTGTTGTGGCGAGAGCCCAGCCGTGGCCAGTAGCGGAAACTCTTCTCCCTGCCACCCTCCTGCAAAGGGGGTTGGATGACAAAGGTTAAAGGTTAGCCAGAGGGATAGAGCTGAGAAACCTGCTACAGATTGGTAATCAAAGGGTCATGTTAATACTAACAAGTCATTGTGTACGTCTAGATCTGAGGACATTCAATAAAAATGTCAACTTACACTACTGACATAATAAAGATCAGTTTAATAAACACACACACACCTCTTCAGCTGTAACCATGGCAATGATGGCCACACCCTGCTCCCACACCATTTGCCAGAAGTCCAGACAGGTGTTGGAAAGAGGGCCCTGGGAGGCGATGTAGCTCCACTCGTCTCCGCCCACCGTAATCTAGGAAAAGCCAGAGGAGAGATACGGTTATTGACCTCATTAAGTAATAAAGGCACTATCTGTGTTCTCCATCTAAAGCCACAGCAGGTATGTATGCATGGCATGCCGATCATTACCCTACCCAGCCCTGGGGAAGGAATGATTATCAAGGAGACAATGACTGCACAGATGCCAGAGCCATCAACAGTCATCTGGAATGAAGAGCATTTCTAGGAAGCTGAAAATAACACAAGAGTTGTTTTTTTAGGACATGACAGTCAACAGTTGGAGGTAGTGAATTAATATCCAGCAATTATTACTGTGCTGAGGAGTATTTCTGTCTGTAATAAAGCCCTTTTGTGTGGAAAAACTAATTCTGATTGGCTGGGCCTGGCTCCCCAGTGGGTGGGTCTGGCTGCCAAGTGGGTGGGCATATTCCCTCCCAGGCCCACCCATGGCTGCACCCCTGCCCAGTCATGTAAAATCCATAGATTAGGGCCTCGTGAATTTATTTAAATTGACTGATTTCCTTATATGAACTGTAACTCAGTAAACTCTTTGAAATTGTTGCATGTTCAGTATATTTTTGGCCCCTGATGCGTCAACCCTACACCACATAACCTCCTTTCTGTTCCCATGCACCGTCAGTAAGTTAACATACAAGACCCTGAAAAGACCTTACATTCTCACTAAGTATACTTGATAATAGCTGAAAATATGGACTTAAATTACTGGGTGCAGTAATGCTATTCAATGTAATGCTCTTCTACATGGTGTTTTGTGTTGCTGTAACAGAGTAGAAAAACTAGGGCAAAGGGATAAAATATACTTTTCTTTAAATATCAATGTTTTGGTTACAAGGTCCTTTTCAAATGAAGTTCCAATGGTATAATGCATTGTTGAAAACACTTGATTAAGGGGCTATATCCTTTGGTTGGACTCATAAGTCAGCATGAAATAAAGTAATGAATAGAAGTGATATTCCGTTTTTGTTGTCCAACTGTTTCTAAAACTGCAGGGTGAGAGATGCAACATGGCCTTGAGAACAGCACGGAAGTATGTTGGTGATCTTTCTCATCTCTTGCAGGTAGCCTGTTGTCTCATTCTTAGCTTTGCAGTAGCCCTTTATTGAATAACAACAAGTAACTTGTTGTTATTCAACCTATTCTACAGACATTAATAAAACTGTATAAAATAAAGATAAGATTACTCCGAAGCTTCTTCTGGTCTGGTGTATTCAGTGACATCGTCTGTTAAACTTCTTGGTCATTTTAGTAGTCATCTTTCACACCTCACTGAGTGACGCTTATCTTTGGTTGTCATTCACACTCAGCAACTACTAAAATGTGTGGACAAAAAATCCTACTGTCAGTATGAGCCAATAGGTCTTACAATACTACATTCAATGTTGTTATAATCTGTGTGTGTTGCAGTGATATACAAGGTCAGAGCGACTGGAGTGTGACACCCATGCATATGTGCCTTGAAGGACTCAACAGTGGACCGGTCTTGCACTTACACATGTCCCAGTGGTCTTAAGGTCACCAGAGTATTCTGGTTTAATGGATTGGAGCGTTTGAGCAATCCTGTAGATCTGTGCAAGGACCCAGCATATGCAGGTCGCGTGGAGAACTGTAGGGATAACAAGAGTGACTGCATCCTGATAATCACAGAGCTGAGAGAAAGCGACGCTCATGAGTTCAGACTAATAACAGATCAACCAAGAGAGAAATATTCAGGTGCCCCTGGAGTCAGTGTGTCCGTCACAGACCTGCAGGTGAAGGTGACTCCTGCCACAGAGGGAGGGAAGGTGACACTGACATGTAGCAGCACCTGCACTCTGACTGACATTACCAACGCCACCTACACCTGGTACAAGAACAGACAACCTCTAGATCAGGCCCCACTCCACAGACAGTTACTCCTCTGCTATAAAATGCCACAGAGATCTCCACTCTCCTGAAGTGGCTGCAATATGTTTTCTGTGTCAGAGCGGTTTTCATTCAGTTCTGCTGGGGAACGGAGCTCCTGCCAAAGTGAACAAGGATCAGATAGTGACACTGACCTGTAGCACCACCTGCACTCTGACTGACATTACCAACGCCACCTACACCTGGTACAAGAACGGATGATAAGAAGATAATTACCCCAGAGCCTGAAGGGCTACGGCACCAAACCAAACGTAGGCCTTACACCTCTACTTCCATATTGACCTATGTGGGATGTTTTCCACACATTCTACTTTAGCCTAAGTTCATTAATATGACTGGGTAATGTACTCTATATGGAAAATATTGACAACATTAAAAAGCTATTTTTGCTTTTCAACCAAGTTGCTCTTGATTTAAATGGCTTATGTTTGTGCGTTCAGTCATACATTTGCATGCACATTAATATGAATGTCTTGTTCAGTCTCATGACATTCACACTTGTTTTTATGAGACACATTAAATGTAGTTTGGTTCAGTTTATATTACATTATGTTGTGATTAAGGTCAAAATTCTGTTTGAAATAAACATTGTAGAGAATATATTTAAGCGTATGGTGTATTTAGTCTGTGTCTAACATTACCCTGATGTGCGAGGCGTTGATGTAGCCTGTGTTGTTCTCCTTGGTGGGCACCAGCTCCACACGCGTGTCGTCGTAGGGCAGCACATCCTGGAAGCGGTTCCTCTCGCCGCTCTCCGGCAGCTGGGCGATGCTGCAGTCGCCTGCCGGACGCCGCTTGGCCACCTGCTCGTACTCCGTGAACACCATGCCCTGCTCCATAAGCTGCTCAAGTACCTTACACTGAAAGACAGAATAAGACACACTGGATTGATCAGCTTCTAGATATGAAACGGGTATGGAGTTGAAAAGCTACAGTTTTGTAAGTATGCAAGAAGTACATTTTCCTGATGTTAGAAACATGTAGTAGCAGTATCTGTTGTGCATGAGAAACACATATCAGCCATTGGTCAAATATGATTGAGACTTAAAAAGCCCTACAGTACATCTTCTTTTAGATAGCCACTGATACACTAACACATGCAAGAGTTTCTACTAAAACAGATAAAGTAGGACAAGATCAAGATTTACCTGGTAGACCTGCTCTCCTACGCATTTACAGTATTTGATACACTGCCGATTTTGCAGGTTTTCCTACTTACAAAGCATGTAGATGTATGTAATTTTTATCATAGGTACACTTCAACTGTGAGAGACGGAATCTAAAACAAAAATCCAGAAAATCACATTGTATGATTTTTAAGTAATTAATTTGCATTTTATTGCATGACATAAGTATTTGATCACCTACCAACCAGTAAGAATTCCAGCTCTCACAGACCTGTTAGTTCTTCTTTAAGAAGCCCTCCTGTTCTCCACTCATTACCTGTATTAACTGCACCTGTTTGAACTCGTTACCTGTATAAAAGACACCTGTCCACACACTCAATCAAACAGACGCCAACCTCTCCACAATGGCCAAGACCAGAGAGCTGTGTAAGGACATCAGGGATAAAATTGTAGACCTGCACAAGGCTGGGATGGGCTACAGGACAATCGGCAAACAGCTTGGTGAGAAGGCAACAACTGTTGGCGCAATAATTAGAAAATGGAAGAAGTTCAAGATGACGGTCAATCACCCCCGGTCTGGGGCTCCATGCAAGATCTCACCTCGTGGGGCATCAATGATCATGAGGAAGGTGAGGGATCAGCCCAGAACTACACGGCAGGACCTGGTCAATGACCTGAAGAGAGCTGGGACCACAGTCTCAAAGAAAACCATTAGTAACACACTACGCCGTCATGGATTAAAATCCTGCAGCGCACGCAAGGTCCCCCTGCTCAAGCCAGCGCATGTCCAGGCCCGTCTGAAGTTTGCCAATGACCATCTGGATGATCCAGAGGAGGAATGGGAGAAGGTCATGTGGTCTGATGAGACAAAAATAGAGCTTTTTGGTCTAAACTCCACTCGCCGTGTTTGGAGGAAGAAGAAGGATGAGTACAACCCCAAGAACACCATCCCAACCGTGAAGCATGGAGCTGGAAACATCATTCTTTGGGGATGCTTTTCTGCAAAGGAGACAGGACGACTGCACTGTATTGAGGGGAGGATGGATGGGGCCATGTATCGCGAGATCTTGGCCAACAACCTCCTTCCCTCAGTAAGAGCATTGAAGATGGGTCGTGGCTGGGTCTTCCAGCATGACAACGACCCGAAACACACAGCCAGGGCAACTAAGGAGTGGCTCCGTAAGAAGCATCTCATGGTCCTATAGTGGCCTAGCCAGTCTCCAGACCTGAACCCAATAGAAAATCTTTGGAGGGAGCTGAAAGTCCGTTTTGCCCAGCGACAGCCCCGAAACCTGAAGGATCTGGAGAAGGTCTGTATGGGAGTGGGCCAAAATCCCTGCTGCAGTGTGTGCAAACCTGGTCAAGACCTACAGGAAACGTATGATCTCTGTAATTGCAAACAAAGGTTTCTGTACCAAATATTAAGTTCTGCTTTTCTGATGTATCAAATACTTATGTCATGCAATAAAATGCAAATTAATAACTTACAAATCATACAATGTGATTTTCTGGATTTTTGTTTTAGATTCCGTCTCTCACAGTTGAAGTGTACCTATGATAAAAATTACAGACCTCTACATGCTTTGTAAGTAGGAAAACCTGCAAAATCGGCAGTGTATCAAATACTTGTTCTCCCCACTGTACGTCACCAGTATCATTCAACACCTTTGTTCTGTTTAAACTACTGTACTCTTTGGATCTCCATAAACAAAGTCTTATATAATGCATGATGTAAAACACACCCCTTTGAATACAGGTGACCTGGATGTACAATAGATGTTAGAAAACACCCAACAGCAATTATTTTAGACAACATTTACTCTGCCTGCTTGATAATCTGGTAATCAAAACCCCTTACACATCCTAACTAAACTATGCAAATGTGGAGCAGTGAGGAGCCATGTCTGTTTCTTTTCAGGGCTGGGTTTTATTTGAACGTTACCACCCATAAGCATGGCATTGTTTATTAATCAGAAACACCTACAAAGTTCAGAGTCGCGACTGAGCCAAACAGCTTTTCACCTTAGCCTACACTTGGCCGCCTGAGCCATGGAGCAAAATAGGGGGTGAAAATGTGTCATTTTCACTTATTTCTGAGCTAGTCTGTATTAACAATATATATAGACACAGTGTACAAAACATTAGGAACACCAGCTTTTTCATGACAGACTGACCAGGTGAAAGCTATGATCCCTTATTGATGTCACCTGTTAAATGCACTTCAAATCAGTGTAGATGAAGGGGAGGAGTATGGTTAAAGAAGGATTTTAAAGCCTTGAAACAATTAAGATATGGATTGTGTATGTGTGCTATTCAGCGTGTGAATGGGCAAGACAAAATATTTAAGTGCCTTTGAACGGGGTATGGTAGTAGGTGTCAAGAACTGCAATGCTTTTGACACCTTGTTGATTCCATGCCCAGACAAATTAAGGCTGTTCTGAGGGCAAAAGGGGGTGCAACGCAATATGAGGAAGGTGTTCCTAATGTTTTGTACACATTACTATTTTATAAATGGTATGATAATTGCTTGATATGATTGCATTTTGCAACCCTGTTCCCCCCGTCGCCCCAAGCTGAATGGCTTTGACCACTAAAGTCTTGCTTCACTACACGCTTCACTGCTTTAAATTGGTGCAGCTAAACCACAAGTGTCTATCCTTTAATGAAAAGGCACCCGCAAAAGAAAATTCAAGGAACTTATCTATTTTGTTGTACTGATGTTATATTTGTCTGATGCGCTCAGGGTGTTACATATAATTTGCAATGTGCATCATGAGCAAAGTCATTGTAGCCCAGTGGTCACCAACCTTTTGAGTCAAGATCACTTTGTGTGTCAAAATGTAAGCCGAGATCTACCGCTCAGAAGATTTATTTTTAACATGACTTAAAAAACGTAAGCCTATGCAACATTAACCTATTAAAACAGTACTGTAGCAATGTGGTTTGTGCAGTAGGCTATAGGCCCAATACATTATCACTGCATATTGGCTATGCTTGAATTGCCCTGCCAATGCACTGTTGTTCAGACCATTTAAAACAATTATATTTCAAAAAATTGGAGGTAGGCTATATGATCACACTGGTAATATATCAGTTTTTGTATTACTTGAGGCACAGCTGAGTGAGCAAAAATTTAAATAATTAGCTTTTTATTGTACTGGTCTGATGGTGCCTGCATCTGATGGTCAGTCTCAGTGGAGGGAGAGAGCAGCAGACTGGGGGTCCGCCTCTCAACATCCCTCTGCTCTCCCTTTCCTCCACTGACACTGACCAAAAAGGGACACCGTCTTCCAGCTGATAGTGAAACGAGTCGCACCGCATTATTTCTGCCTCATGCACAAATTCATGTTTTACTCCTATGAACAGAGAACGTTAAATATTTCTAGATATAAAAAAATACATAAGCCGCTTATAATAATGGAAGTCTATCGATCCACTTTACTACTCATTCATTACAGCTGCAGTGCTGGTTGTAGCGCCAGTGGTAGAAGGAGGAACACACATTTTATGGCTTATAAAACTGTTGAATAAAAAGTGTTGACAGTGCTGAGAAGAACTTAAATGTGAACTCACTCATAAAAACAGCAGCTCTTTGCTGTATTCGTTGTCAGTTTCTCTCTAGTCAACTATGCTTTAGCTTTCTTTTACGCCTGCTATGCTACTGCAGACACTGTAATCTGAGCCATCCGATTGGCCAGCGGTAGACGTATAGTACACTTGATTTGCTCTCCAGGCCCGCCGGGAAGGCAGAGTTTGTACCTTCAGACACATGAAATGGGAAGACTTCGCCTACACGGCGCGCAGGGCAGCTGAATCGGGTGCACCTACCGCCAACAGCGCAAGACAAATAAATAAAAACAAGAACGCAAAGCTAATGGTTCAGTTTTTTACAGAGATGTTTGCCGATTGACTAGGAATGCCTTGGAGATCGACCGGTTGGTGACCACTGTTGTAGCCTATCATTCCACTTCTGTGAGCACCATGAGCACGGGCTGACTTGGCTTTGCAGTACCGCAGCCGAAGCCTGCCAGCAGCCTACCTACCAAAGGTTGCACCGTGTCCATTACAATGTAGAAAAATGCATGGCTCTTATTGAAGATAACAATAGATGGCAAAGTCAAAAATATTGGTTTCCATCTGTAGCTAAGTTTTCCCTAAATGCTTATGACAAATCCAGCTCCAGAACCAGCCTAGCCAGCTGGCTAATCTTTTGAATATGGTATAGCAAAAAATAAATGGCAACAACAAATAACATTAGCTAGCTAAATAAGGTTAGCAAGATAGCTAGTCAAGGTTAGCATACTAGCTAGCTACACTGACAGCTGTCAGCTCCCTATCTGTTGATGTTTCTCCACTCAACGTGGAAATCACCACAATGTTTCCGCCCCCCCCCCCCCCCCCCCCCCCCACGGAATTACGCCGAAATTGTCCTCTGGTGGGCGCCTTTAAAGGGACAACACCAGTCTACAACATTGCCCACTGCAAGTTCCTACCCTCTCGTCGTTGGAGGCCTTCTCAGGTTCGTCCTTGCCCCCCTCGTGCAGGGGCAGCCTAGACAGGGTCAGGCCATTGAGGGCCGCCACCTTCAAAGGACCCATCTTCTTCAGCTCAGCCCGCTTCTTCATGCCCTGTTGTGACGGAGGACAGAGAGAGAGGTAGAAGGGAGAGAAAAAGTGTGAGTGTGGCTGAAGTTGATGGAATGTCTGAGGAAGTTCGGGGAGGGACAGTTACGGCACAGCCTGGTTGGGTGACGTGTTTTCCTATGGAATGCCGCCGAACTAGCTACTGAGGTCGCCTTGCAACATTCCTTTCAGCTACAGGTGGACAAGGTGTCATTGTGAATTGGTCTCCCAACTACCATGAAACTACCCAGAATACCCCTGCATTGGTGGGTCAGTGAGTTTAGGAGTGATTGTGATGTCACAGGTTTAGTCACCTGACCAACATATAGAGTTTGTTATTGGTTGAAATGAACATTGGCCACTTCTGGCCTTCGGGATATTCCACTATTGTGTTGTGTGACACTTCGTGATGTGAATGATATATTCATTCAAATGTCAGACATCTTAGCTAAGAGGAAAAGCTTATCTTAACTGACAGAGAAATTAAAAATAATCTCCAAGACATGAAGATTGGGCAACAGCTGTTCCTTGAACAATGAAAGAGACACTGACACCTCTAGTCAAACTTAGTAGTCAAATGTACTTTTTTTAAAATGATGCTAAAAACACAGACATGTTTGGGCAGCGAGTAAGGCAGTGGAGACTGGGGCTACTATGGTGGGACATAGGCTACTATGGCGGAGGAGAGGTTGTAAGACTCACGGCAGGAGGCAGGCCATCAATGGGTTTCTTCCCAGCAGGAACGTCTGACACAGGCCTCTTCTTGATGAAATCCTTCTTGGCCTTCTGTTTGTTCTGCCCACTGATGTCACTGTCCGACATCGAGGGCACAATCCTGCCAGTCTGCCCACCCTCAAACAGGTACAGCGACTCCGCCTCCTGGATCAGTGGGTGCACCTGATAGGCTTGAAGGTCAGACAAGGCAGGGTCAAGGGAGGAGCCAATGGGATATGCGGGCGGGGGCTCCAGGGGAATCTGGCCCAGATTGGTTAGAAGCTGCTGCGAGTCAGGCCCGGACAATAGTGCATCGTCGGATTGGGGGGTGTGGCGTCCGCTCTCGTCCTCAAACTCCTCTTCCTCGCTGCTGTGCACCAGCATGGTGGCGTCTGACAGGGACTTCTTGTGGCCGTAGCGAACGTCCTCCTTCCCCTCCCCCCCGTCCTCTGACTTGGTCCGCTCCAGGAACACGTTGAGCTGGGAGCCTGAGGAGGGACCATGCGGGGCGTCTGTGGCTGAGGCAGATACAGTCCTTTCCTTGACCCTCATACCCTCCAGGCTGTAGGCCAGGCCTGCAATCTCGATGGAGTTGCGTTTGTGTGCGTTGTGCTGGTGAGGGTGGTGTTGTGGGGGTCCAGCCAGGAACAGGGGCTCGGATACCTCCTGCAGGGAGTGGGCTACAGGCAAACTGTCCTCCTGGAAGGTCTGGACTGAGTGGTGCACGCGCCGTGTGATGATCAGGTCCGGGTTGCTGCTGCTCACGTACAGGTGGCGAGAAAGGTCTGGCGTGCTGTTGGCGGGACGTGGGTGGGCCCCGTATGGGTAGGGGGGTGGAGGGCGGTACACTTGGGTCCTCATGATATTGGCCGCAGGGTACTCCTGCGCCTGCTGCAGCTGGACGTTTGTCAGCTCGGGCACACTGACCGCCCCCACCACCGGCCTCCTCTCCGTGGGGTAGGGGTACGGGGAGGGGCTGTGGAAGCTAGAGTTGAGATGGAAGGGGTAGTGGTGGTGCGCTCCTCCTCCACCATGCTCTCCTCTGATCTCTGGCTGGCTGTAGACCAGGGGGTCCGGCCTGCTGTAGGCGTACGAGTTCCCAATGTTCAGGTTCCTCATGGAGTGGCTCTGGCGGTGCTCGTAGGCATGCACCATCCCCCCTCCACCTCCCCGGTTCTTCTGCCTCATGACCGTCTCGTAGTCCGGGGTGGCGCGGTAGGAGGGGGGGATGAGGGCACTGTGGCGGTGCGAGGGCACATAGTCGGGCCGGGTGATGTCACTTCCTGTGATGGAGGGGTTGGAGGACATGGGCGAGGGCTGCATGTAGTGCTGGGGGTTGGTGAGGGAGCTGGTGCTGTGGGCACTGTACACGCTGCCGTTACGCAGCCGCCCGTTCCCACCGCCGCTGTTGCCGTACTCGAGTGGTGAGCGGTCCAGGCTGGTCTGGGAGTGGTAGTAGTAGCCATTCTGACTGTTCATGTACAGGTTGTCTGAGAGATAGAACAAAGATAAGACAAAGGTCTTGTTAGAACTACAGTCATAGGAAGGACATACCCATTAAAATAACCCTTTAATCTAAGCATTGTTGCATGACTAAGCATGATTAAACAGTGAGCGGACATTCACCTTCATCTCTTTGTTCATTAACAGGGCTCAGATAGATACATGGTGCATGATGGTGGTTAAAAATAGAGATGAAACACCAGTGATCATGGTAAGGTCAGGCCTAACTTTATAAGTACCTTGTGAAGATGTGTAAGGCTCAGTGAAGTGGCCATTGTAGTGCATCTGTGGCGGGGGCAACATGTAGGGCGGGGACTTTGGCTGCACAGAGAGAGATCAACCAACAACACGATTTAGTTAAGGCACACATGATCTTCACGCAGCCCAACAGCATGGAATTAGTGGCTTGCGAAAGTATTCACCCCCTTGGCATTTTTCCTATTTTGTTGCCTTACACCCTGGAATTAAAATTGATTTTTGGGGGTTTGTATAATTTGATTCACACAACATGCATACCAATTTGAAGATGCAAATTATTTGTTATTGTGAAACAAACAAGAAATAAGACAAAAAAACTGAACTTGAGCTTGCATAACTATTCACCCCCCCAAAGTCAATACTTTGGAGAGCCACATTTTTGCAGCAATTACAGCTGCAAGTCTCTTGGGGTATGTCTCTATAAGCTTGGCACATCTAGCCACTGGGATTTTTGCCCATTCTTCAACGCAAAACTGCTCCAGCTCCTTCAAGTTGGATTGGTTCCGCTGGTGTACAGCAATCTTTAAGTCATACCACAGATTCTCAATTGGAATGAGGTCTGGGCTTTGACTAGGCCATTCCAAGACATTTAAATGTCTCCCCTTAAACCACTCGAGTGTTGCTTTAGGAGAATGCTTAGGGTCATTGTCCTGCTGGAAGGTGAACCTCCGTCCCAGTCTCAAATCTCTGGAAGACTGAAACAGGTTTCCCTCAAGAATTTCCCTGTATTTAGCGCCATCCATCATTCCTTCAATTCTGACCAGTTTCCCAGTCCCTGCCGATGAAAAACATCCCACAGCATGATGCTGCCACCACCTGCTTCACTGTGGGGATGGTGTTCTCGGGTGATGAGAGGTGTTGGGTTTTCTTGATGGCCAAAAAGCTCAATTTTAGTCTCATCTGACCAGAGTACCTTCTTCCATATGTTTGGGGAGTCTCCCACATGCCTTTTGGCGAACACCAAACGTGTTTCCTTATTTTTTTCTTTAAGCAATGGCTTTTTTCTGGCCACTCTTTCATAAAGCCCAGCTCTGTGGAGTGTATGGCTTAAAGTGGTCCTATGGACAGATACTCCAATCTCCGCTGTGGAGCTTTGCAGCTCCTTCAGGGTTATCTTTGGTCTCTTTGTTGCCTCTCTGATTAATGCCCTCCTTGCCTGGTCCTTGAGTTTTGGTGGGCGGCCCACTCTTGGCAGGTTTGTTGTGGTGCCATATTCTTTCCATTTTTTAATAATGGATTTAATGGTGCTCCGTGGGATGTTCAAAGTTTCGGATATTTTTTTATAACCCAACCCTGATCTGTACTTCTCCACAACTTTGTCCCTGACCTGTTTGGAGAGCTCCTTGGTCTTCATGGTGCCGCTTGCTTGGTGGTGCCCCTTGCTTAGTGGTGTTGCAGACTCTGGGGCCTTTCAGAACAGGTGTATAAATACTGAGATCATGTGACAGATCATGTGACACTTAGATTGCACACAGGTGGACTTTATTTAACTAATTATGTGACTTCTGAAGGTAATTGGTTGAACCAGATCTTATTTAGGGGCTTCATAGTGAATACATATGCACGCACCACTTTTCCGTTATTATTTTTGATTTTTGAAACAAGTCATTTTTTTCCTTTCACTTCACCAATTTGGACTATTTTGTGTATGTCCAGTACATGAAATCCAAATAAAATCCATTTAAATTACAGGTTGTAACACAACAAAATAGGAAAAAACGCCAAGGGGGATGAATACTTTTGCAAGGCACTGTCCACACAAATGTAATAGTGTGCTGAAGCACTGGCCAGGGTCTGTGACGTTTGTCATGTGCTGCATTCCACAGGCCATAGCTTAGAGGGAAACTGTGTGTGTTTGAGACAGAAATCGTGTTTTTTTTGTGTGTGTGTGTGTTCACTGGCAGCGTACCAGAGACATCCTGGTGGAGGATCGCCGTCTCACTGGGTTCACAGCGGTAGGCTGGGTTTGGCTGAGAACAGGAACATAAAAACGAAACAAACAGGTAGTAAAAACAAAAAGGCTTTCTTTCAAGTTGAAAGGGACTCAGGGAAGTGGTTTTAGGGAGGCTCTTCTCTGTTAAATTAAATATCCCTTTATCGCAGTGAAAGATGAGAGCAATATCCAGGAGAGAACTCCTTTTAGTAAGATTTTTTTTGTATACATCATCTTTCTTCGCCCAAACACCCAAAACATAAAAAGGTGGTGACGAGGGGATTGGTGTCATTTAAATGTAGCTAGGGTGTTTTGTAGGGCTCTGGTTGGTTTTAGGGGAGGGTGTTGGCTCTCTGAGGAGACCTGTACTGTAGGCGGGTGGCTGCGGACAGCGTTGCTCACCCCTTGTTAGAAGGCAGAAAAGGAAAGCGAGGAAAGGAAAGAGTGAGAATGGACTTCTGGGAGCCCTCAGAAGGCGAAGGGGGGTCAGACTCCTCTCTGGAGAGAGGAGAAGAGGGGACAGCAGTGAGGAGAGCAGACGCACACAGGAACAGGGCTAGAATCGTTAAGAGAGACACTTACAGGCTGCTCTTGTTAATCTTATAAAACTTGTGCCTGGCCAGACACATCCGGCACACATATTTGGAGGTTTCCAAGTCTTCCTGTAGAAGGCAAAGAAAACATTCACAGCGTTAGACATTCAATACACTGGACTGGTGGTGGTGGTGTTCTACTCATTCACCAACCCAAATACAACTGCATGGGGCTTTAGCCAGCGGTTGTTGACCCTATACGCCTGTGGCTTAGTTACCGCCATACAGCACACATACACAAGAACACGTTTATCTAGAAAGGTCAATACACATTCACACAGCATGCACTGTGTGAGCATAGTACTCCAGTGTATGTGTGGGACAATGTGTATAATGGGAAGAGGATAATTGCGGTGTGTGGTGATGGTGGTTTGAGACTCACGGTCTGGAACTGCACGCTCTCCTCTTTGTTGGTCAGCTCCAGGGCAAAGAAGGACTTATTGTGAGTCATGTTGTTAATTTCATTCCACCTACACAGAACATTAAAACATAGGGGGGCGAGAGCATGAGGCAGAGGCAGTGTCAGTGGTCACAAAACCTCAATTTCTGCAGCCTGCTGTGGGAGGCGAGTGACGTTAACAGAAACCATATCTGAGTCAATAGTTAGAGAAGTGTCTACATTCAACACTCTTAGTAGCATTTAGACAGTGATATTCTACACAATTTAGTAAATTGAAGGAGACCTGATCTGAGGCCTAGAGTTTCTCCTTGCCAGGTCACATGGTCAGGAAAAACTACTGTCCGCAACTATATAAACATCCCATCAGATCCAAAATAGACAGACGACCATGCCATCTTAGAATAGTAGCTAGCTGTGGACTGAACCAGACTCAATATGCTGAGTCATTGGATATAACACAATTACTGTTTCAGGTACACAAATAGCAGACAGGCTTTTATTCAGACAGCTCATATTTAGAAGCAGAACATATTGCAGGCCTGGGTTATTACTGTAAAAAATGTATATTCAAAAAATAAAAATACATTATTTCCAGTCTTACTTGAATACGAGGGGTGGCCTGCCGTTTTTGTGCTTGACAAAGATGCCGTCCAGACAGGCCCCAAGGAGGATATCAGTGCCTTGGCTGTCCTGTGGGGATGGGAAGAGAGAACAGGATTAAAAGGAAGAACTATAGCTAATTTGTTTTTTTGTTCTGTGTGTGATGGGCAGCCTACATTTATCCTTCTATGAATATATTCTGGGAGATCAGCACCTGCATCTGCTGCATTTTGAACTAAAAAACCATCTGTCCCTTAATTAATGCCTTCACACATACATAATATTGACAAATAGAGGTATTGACAGAAAGTCAATAGGACTGGATAGCAATGTAGTAGTGCAGTGTGCAGTAAGGCTTTGGTGGAGCAGGTACTGTAGGTTGGTGTAGCTGTGTTCACCTTGGCTGGGGTACTCTCCTGGCCATAGCCCTCCATCTTCTCCACCTCCTGCATGTACAACATCTCTGCCTCTGGGGCAGGCAACCCCCTGAGAGAAACACACACATATATATGGCAATGTGAGTTAACATAAACAATACACATGTCCAAAGCAGACAAACAGACACATGGAGACACCAACATCCATTAACCAGCATAGATAGAGAGTACACAGACACACCCACACATACTTTGGTCACATTCCGAAACAGGATTCATGACATCATCACACCCAGGGCTCCAGACAAACATTTTCCCCTGGTAGCACCAGCCCATGATTTTGGCGCCGTAACACAATAGAAGAAATAAGGAATAATAATAATAATCATAATAATCATAATAATAATAAGCCATTTAGCAGACGCTTTTATCCAAAGCTACTTCCAGTCAAGTGTGCATACATTTTTACGTATGGGTGGTCCCGGGGTTCGAACCCACTACCCTGGCGTTACAAGCGCCATGCTCTACCAATTGAGCTACAGAGGACCATCATCTTATAAAGTCATTCAAAGTGCTTCATTAAAAAGGTGTACTAGACTACTGTCTGAGATCATGAGATGGTATTCAAGAAATAAGTTGTTTCATCTAACATGTCTATGCAGGAATAATGCATTGTCATGAATGTTGGGCTGATAATTAGGTTATCGTTATATTTTACTGTTAAAATAGGGCACCAGAATTTGTAAGGGTTCAGCAGCAAAGCTGGTGAAACCCTATTGTATTTGTTGCCGTTGATTATAATTTTCCCTTCATCTGCCGATTTGTGAAAAAAATGCAAATTTCCGTGAGATGGTAAAGCCTAGGAGGTTGCAACTTTGCATGATGGTAAAGGAGCAAGGGCCACATCCTATCATGCAATGCAATGCCATGCCAAATGGCCACATGGTCGCGCTATAACAAGCGATTGAATATGCACACTTTTAAATCTCACAGCCCTCACCCCGTTTGAGCTAGAGTCCTGAAATTCGGTATATAGGTCCCTCTCCTCACAAGGAACAAATGTGCCTCAAGGACCCATGATGTCCGCCATGATGGCTTTTCCACCATTTAGATTTTTGTGAAAAACACTTACTTAAAACACTACTTCTCTGGCACAAAACATGGCATCTATGGAGCAAGCGCTCACAAATTAGGTTTTCCCAGGATAGCATCTCAAACAACATGGCCGCTACTGACCAATAAACAATAATGTGGGCGTGGTCTGGCACAAATGCATTTAACTCCGACACAGATATTTGCATTGTAACAAACACTGTCAAGACTCAAGATATCTAAGCACATTCAGCTCGACCACACAGTAGCGCTATAATGGGCACATGTTTATACTGTTGATCGGTTTGACTCCGAGTGATGAAATTTGGCACACATACTCAGGGATATGACTATAGTTAACCTGTTAAGTATGGTTCAGTTTAGCCGCATGGTGGTGCTGTTGGACAGGAACAATCATTCATGCAAGATCATTGGCTAATAGCGAGCATAATGTTTGAGCGAGAGTCTTGAAAAATATTGAGTTTGAAGATGTGCATCTATAGATACTATATATGAAATTTGGTGCCGATCAGTCCAGCGGTGCTGTAGAAGAATACTTTTTAAAGTAGTACACATAATTGAAAATGGTACAAAATACATCAAAAGCATATTTTAACGCATGATCAGTTTGATTTTGAGATCTGATATTTGGCAAGTGTGGTAAACAGTGCAGAAGTAACTCGTCTTAGGGCAATGTGTCCAATGTTTCATGATGGTGGCACAGTGGGCCCATAGCTTAACCCTGTCTTTTAGCTAGACCTCTAACTCTAAACATAATACCCACTGCTGGTAGCCATGTATTAAAAACAACGTTGTTGTGGTAGCCTACTACTCAATGGAGTCCCATGCACTTGCAATGGCTGATGCACATTTCTCGTGTGCCATATCCCAAAGCCATATCAAATATCTTGCGATAGAGCAACATTTTGAGATAAACAAATATATACACTACTGGTCGAAAGTTTTAGGACACCTACTCATTCAAGGGTTTTTCTTTATTTTTTACTATTTTCTACATTGTAGAATAATAGTGAAGACATCAAAACTATGAAATAACACATATGGAATCATGTAGTAACCAAAAAAGTGTTAAACAAATCCAAATATATTTTATATTTGAGATTCTTCAAATAGCCACCCTTTGCCTTGATGACAGCTTTGCACACTCTTGGCATTCTCTCAACCAGCTTCACCAGGAATGCTTTTCCAACTGTCTTGAAGGAGTTCCCACATATGCTGAGCACTTGTTGGCTGCTTTTCCTTCACTCTGTGGTCCAACTCATCCCAAACCATCTCAATTGGGTTGAGGTTGGGTGATTGTGGAGGCCAGGTCATCTGATGCAGGACTCCATCACTCTCCTTCTTGGTCAAACAGCCCTTACACAGCCTGGAGGTGTGTTTTGGGTCATTGTTCTGTTGAAAAACAAATGATAGTCCCACAAAGCGCCAACCAGATGGGATGGCGTATCGCTGCAGAATGCTGTGGTAGCCATGCTGGTTAAGTGTGCCTTGAATTCAAAATAAATCACTGACAGTGTCACCAGCAAAGCACCCCCACACCACCTCCTCCATGTTCCACGGTGGGATCCACACATGCGGAGATCATCCGTTCACCTACTCAGCGTCTCACAAAGACACGGCGGTTGGAACCAAAAATCTCACATTTGGACTCATCAGACCAAAGGACAGATTTCCACCGGTCTAATGTCCATTGCTTGTGTTTCTTGGCCCAAGCAAGTCTCTTCTTATTATTGGTGTCCTTTAGTAGTGGTTTCTTTGCAGCAATTCGACCATGAAGGCCTGATTCACGCAGTCTCCTCTGAACAGTTGATGTTGAGATGTCTGTTACTTGAACTCTGTTAAGCATTTATTTGGGCTGCAATCTGAGGTGCAGGTATTCTAATGAACTTATCCTCTGCAGCAGATGTAACTCTGGGTTTTCCTTTCCTGTGGTGGTCCTCATGAGAGCCAGTTTCATCATAGTGCTTGATAGTTTTTGCGACTGCATTTGAATAAACTTTCAAAGTTCTTGACATTTTCCGGACTGACTGACCTTCATGTCTTAAAGTAATGATGGACTGTCGTTTCTCTGCTTATTTGAGCTATTCTTGCCATAATATGGACTTGGTTTTTCACCAAATAGGGCTGTCTTCTGTATACCACCCCTACCTTGTCACAATACAACTGATTGGCTCAAACGCATTAAGGAAAGAAATTAAACAAATTAACTTTTAACAAGGCACACCTGTTAATTGAAATGCATTCCAGGTGACTACCTCATGAAGCTGGTAGAGAGAATGCCAAGTGTGTGCAAAGCTGTCATCAAGGCAAAGGGTGGCTACTTTGAAGAATCTCAAATATAAAATATATTTTGATTTAACACTTCTTTGGTTACTACATGATTCAATGTGTTATTTCATAGTTTTGATGTCTTCACTATTATTCTACAATGTAGAAAATAGTACAAATAAAGAAAAACCCTTGAATGAGTAGATGTGTCCAAACTTTTGACTGGTACTGTATATGGATGATTTATAAAGCCAGGCACATTTAACAGTTAGGCTATTGATTATAGACCTAATTAAGTTGGGGTTTCCTCTCTCCTCACCTTTCTTAGACAATTAAGGTAAGGGCTGTTATCTTTTCTCCTAACTCCACTGCATTGTTCTCAACACCAATATGCTGGTTAACTTTGTTATTATGCACATAGCAACATGGTCTAGGAAAAGGTGCCAATTCAACAGCGCACTAATGTGTTTCAAAACCGCGGACAACGACCACTATCCAACACGGGAGAAAGTGCATTTGTTATAAAATAATATTATTTTTATTTGTGTTGCACCATTGTTCTTACATAATATAACCTTATACAATTTCAGTGGCACGTCTTAGACTGATGGACTGTGCCATCCCCACAGCCTCCACAATGGATCAGTCCACTCAGACAGCCTCCTGAAAAAGTAGGAAGTTCGGAGTGAGATTATCAATAAATTAATCCTAAATATTTCAAAAACTAAAAGCATTGTATTTGGGACAAATTATTCACTAAACCTTAAACCTCAACTAAATATTGTAATGAATAATGTGGAAATTGAGCAAGTTGAGGACTGTCATTGTCAAAACATATTGATGCAACAGTAGCTAAAATGGGGAGAGGTTTGTCCATAATAAAGCACTGTTCTTCCTTCTTAACAACTCTATCAACAAGGCAGGTCCTACAAGCCCTAGTTTTGTCACACCTCGACTACTGTCCAGGCTTATGATCAGGAGCCACAAAGATGGACTTAAGAAAATGACAATTGGCCCAGAACAGGGCAGCACGTCTGGCACTTAAATATACACGGAGAGCTAACATGTCAATCTCTCCTGGCTCAAAGTAAAGGAGAGATCGACTTCATCACTACTTGTACTTATGAGAAGTATTGACGTTGATTGCATCGAGCTGTCTGTTTAAACTACTAGCACATAGCTCGGACACCCATGCAAAAACAGATAAAAAGACACCTTATGGAACAGCGGGGACTGTGAAGAGACACCCACACAGACAGTCGCATGCATACACACACGATAACATACGCACTATACACACATGTACACATTGATTTTGTGTTGTAGATACTGGGGGCGGCAGTAGCTTAGTGGGTAAGAGCGTTGTGCCAGTAACCGAAAGGTCGCTGGTTCTAATCCCCAAGCTGACTAGGTGAAAAATCTGTCGAAGTGCCCTTAAGCGAGGCACTTAACCCTAATTGCTCCTGTAAGTCGCTCTGGATAAGAGCGTCTGCTAAATGACTAAAATGTAAATGTAAATGTCTGTATGTGGTAGTAGAGTAGTGGCCCGAGGGCACACACTTAATGTGTTGTGAAATGTATTTTAATATTTTAAAAATTGCATAACTGCCTTAATTTTGCTGGACCCCAGGAAGAGAAGCTGCTGCCTTGGCAGGAAATAATGGGGATGCATAATAAATCCAAATACTAATGTAGAATGTGCAGCTCACACCCATGCGACCCAATTAAAACATTTACTCGCACAGCCAAGTCAAAGGGAAGCAAAATGCAACTAAATGGTCGCAGTCTGGAGCCCTGACAACCCTTATCTCAACAAACTGAAATAGTGTCAGTCTAGTTCAACCACCAACATGATTAGCTGCTGCTATGTGCTATCCCCCATCACCTCCATCTTCTGTTCATCTGTGTCACTGCACTTCGTTTGACACACACAAAGCAGTGAAACCATTTCATACACACCAACATCGAGGCAAGCATCAAGTCCTCACCTCACCTACAGAACCCACCCCAACCTGACACCTCCCTCCCCTGTAGCTGGGGCCCAAAGTATGACAACTATTCCCAGGGATGTTATCTGGGCTTTATCTTAACAACTCTTTCCAGCTATCTATCTATCCAGATCATATCAGGGATGAGCAGAAGGCTGGAAACCTGCAGGTTGGGATGGACGGATGGGGGGGATGAAAACCAGCTGGCCTTGGACTGGAGGAGTGAGGAGGCTTGGTGCCAGGCCGGCCCCGGCTCTGGGTTTTTCATCCAGCTGCCCGACTGTAAATTACAGCTGAGGACCCCTGGTCAGATGGGTTTATTTTCGGCCTGCTAACTGAGGCCAGATGAGATAGAAGCACCATGGACTGGCCCACTGCATGGATCGAACCTGGACTCAATTAAAAGGCACTGAGTATGTCAGCCTCAGGAGATGTGAAGGGGGGTTCCTGTGGAGAATGAAAGGCATGTCTTCTTTTCCACAGATGGAAAATCTGATGGAGGAACATCTGAAGATTTCTCACCTGTAGTTCTGGTAAAGCAGAGCCACTTTTTGAGTGGCCTCTTCCAGTACTCGCTCATCCTGGATCCAGCCCTATGAAGAGATGGGGAAACCTATATTACATTGTGCACATTCATGAACAGATGACTATAGGATGTAAAACAAGAACTTTGAGATGCAAAGTCATTGAGAAAAGAAAGAAACTGCTTACGATAGGAAAGAGCACAAACTTCTGAAGAAACTCCTGCGAATCGTAACGATTGAAGTCTCCAAAGTCAGCTGAAACACAGAAAATAATCAAATACAATCTTAATTTTTGTACACATGATGAATACATGTAAATAACAGTACAGTAATATTTTTCCTAGCAGTGAATACATGTGAAAACCTGACTTAAAAAACGTTTATTTCAATAGTTAAAGTCTGTAATGTGGCTATTTCTGCAGTTAGTGTGAGGCAGACTGAAAGCATCCATGGATTTTCAGAATGGCGTGATGCTTATTTTAGAAAAGCAGGGGACCCGTGTGTTATGGCACAGGATTGCTTTAACGTCTGAAATCATAGTGGTCCAACGTTAACAGCAATCTCTGTCTGCACGCCAGCTATGTTCACAGCTATGTTCAGTATCCCAGGCATTATCCATGCTAGCTACGGCCCTACAGGCCAAGCCCCCACAAGCCCTAACCTCAGCAGCTAGGTAAAAATAGACAATGTCCAACATCTTCCAAGCAAAAACCAAAAGCAAACTTAGAAGGGCTTTTTTTAAGTCAGCAAATACTTGAGGTTTCTTAAAGCTTTCAGTATTACTGAGATGCTATTTTGTTCTAGCTTGCTATGCAGATTGAGAAGTAAGAGTTTGGACCTGGGTTGCACCAGTAAGTGATCTCAGTTGCTGTGCTATGTTAACACCTAGGCCAGTAACTTGCACTGCCTGATATAACTTTGCCAGTAGTGTTTGAGATTCTTCTGGCTGGGCAAAATTGGGAGTCCAGAAATGTCAAGCTGGAGACTCATGCAAAGGGAGTTTACACTCCCTGGGCCTGGCCAGTTTATAGGTTGGTTTGGGCATGATGGTGCTTGTTAAGTGTCCTACATTAACAGACTTGTGAAAAGCTCAATAAACCCTAAATAAAAGTGCTTGACTCAGCTTTTATACAAACAAGGTTACTTAGGATAGTAGAAAAAGGCCTTAAATTGTACAATACAACAACAATGTTCTCTTGAATACCAACTGAAAATATTCAAGTTTAAAGTTCACATTTCCCTAGCTATGCTTTGAAATCATGAGACTTCCGACGAGTCCCGAGTTGAAATTCAGTAATGATCCTTGAGACCATACTCTAACGACTTCACTCCTTTTGCATTGGTGGACCATCAACAGCTTTAGGTTCAATAAAGCATGAGCTGTGGAATTTACAACAACAGGTCATGACAGCATGACAGTTTGTGAGTGTGGTGCAAAACACTTGCTGTGGCCACGCATGGCAGGACCTGACCTGTCACCACAGTTTGAACAGGTGGCGATCCTCAGTTACCCTATCAGTAGATTAGTGTGTACTGAGTTTAATTTCCCTTTATCACATTCAGAGCCGGTGTTCAGTATTCACATTACCTTGCACTGCCAAGCCTGCCAGGCGGATGGCCTGTTCTATGGAGCAAGGGATTCTGCCTTCGAGAACATCCTTCTTCAACTGGAGATAATACTGATATCTGTAGGGAGGTAGAGGAAAGTTGGTTACTCTCAAGGTGTGGACAGAAGACAAACATGACTTAGTTTGACCCCTCCATTCAATCGGTCAGTGAGAGATGTGATGTCATACTGTAGTGGGTGACAACACAGAAAAATCCATAGTGGTTACTGGACTGAGTTGCTCAATGTTCAGTAAGTGTTACTAAGATGATACTAAGGAGTTACTTAGGCAATAGAGGAATTATCTGATAAGGTAGTACCGAGTATGGCAAATCCTCTGTCATGTAGGACACACATGCATTACATTCCAAACTCCCTTCTCCCCTCACTCACTACTTTTGACTGATCCAATAGGAATGGATAGATTAAATCAATATGGTGGGAACTATGTGGCTTAGAGTTAACCAAGAAATTCATGAATGAGACAACATTTTGGCCTGAGAAGCAACCTGAATGAGTGTCTAGTGTCCCTCTGTGTTAAGCGTATATCTGACCTGGTGATCTCCTGCTGCAGCTGGCCCACGGTGGGCACGTAGAAGACCACTCCGAAGTAGACGGTGGGCTCCAGGCCGTACTTGTCTAGCTGCTTCTTCAGGGGCTTCTCCAGGTCGATCCATCGCTGCTGGTTCTGCTTGTTGAAGTACCATAGGCTGAAGTACGTTATCTGGTGGGGGGAGGAAAGGAAATGTGGGCCGTTAATGGAGGAAACAGGAAGCAGAGACTCTTTTGAAAGATGAGGTGATTGTGAAATCGTTACTTGTTATTGAAATGAAAGTAATATGGTATATGGTATATTTTGGTTTACAATGACAATAGCTTGTTGCATTTCCTACGCTAAATTCTAGATGACTTAACATGTTTGTGCTTCCTTCTTCATCATAACATAGCTTGTTTTCATCTGAAACATGAATCTTGACCCACAAGCCCAAAGTAAAGTTACAAGCTGCTGTGCTGCTGCCACTCCCTGTTCAGTCTTGTGACTGTCTGCTGGGGTGGAGCAGTGTGCATCACACAATGAACAGTGGTTCTGGATTTGACCTGTATTGTTTATGATGAAGGGAGTCTGGCCACAAGGCTCACAGTGTGATTGCTCTGACTACAATTATACCATTACTTACCTATTTACAACATATGAATTATGTCTATTTGGAGTGTTGGAATATATATCCGAAATCACTGCTAGGCCATTTAAACCATCCCCTGTTACAAACAGTTCACACAAAGTTCATGGTAAACATCATCAACGTCTGTGAGAGAAACAACCTGACATTCCAACAAAGAGCCTATTCTAGAGATTCTCTGATGGCAAAATAGTCAGGCCAAAACATAGGCTACTAGCCTACAGATTATGAAAGGATTTCTATTTCAAATAGCCATATCTTCATATATATTGCATGGTAACAGATCCTTCAACCATGTTACCATAGATTTATTTCAGTGTCCTGCCACTTTCCTATATAGAGCCCTATAAAACCTGTTTTATTGATTCCGTTTTCCCCCAAAATTCAGTTCTCTCTGTTTTGTCTTTCCAGGTTTTCGTTTTTTATTTAGATTTTTGGGTGTAGTTACTGTTGCACTCATGTGATTTACTATACAAACGTAGGGCTGTCCCCGACAAAAAAAAAGAATCTTGGTCGACCGAAAGTCATCTGTTCTTTCAATCAATCAATCGGTCAAATGTATTTTACGTGTATTTTCCATATATAGACACACCCTATGTGTTTTAATAAAATCAACTATATGCACTGAGCGATGCTTTAAGGGCACTGTTTGATGAAATAATTAAGACACAAATGACTCACGAGGGAGCCAGAGATCAAGATAACCAGAAGAAAAAAAACTGTACCCAAATCGACCATCCTCCTCCCGCTCCTACTGGCCTTCGCAGATTCTGCCATTATGCTCCGGAAATTGCCGGTAGGCTTCACCAGGGGTCAGCAACCTGTTTCATGTCGAGTGCCAATTTATCTTACCATTTCTACCGATCAAATCAAATGTTATTTGTCACATGCGCCGAATACAACAGGTGTAGACCTTACAGTGAAATGCTTACTTACAAGCCCTTAAACAACAGTTTTAAGAAAGAATACCAACAAACAAAAAATTACACAAAATAATACAATATAAAATAATACGAAATAAAAGTCAAAAATAATAAAGAGCAGCAGTAAAAATATCAATAGCGAGGCTCTATACAGAGGGTACCGATACCGAGTCAATGTGCGGGGGCACCAGTTAGTCAAGGTAAATGAGGTAATATGTATATGTAGGTAGAGTTAGCTTCCTGCCATCCAGGACCTCTATACCAGGCGGTGTCAGAGGAAGGCCCTCAAAATTGTCAAAGACTCCAGCCACCCTAGTCATAGACTGTTCTCTCTGCTACCGCACGGCAAGCGGTACCGGAGTGCCAAGTCTAGGTCCAAAAGACTTCTCAACAGCTTCTACCCCCAAGCCATAAGACACCTAATCATGGCTACCCGGGCTATTTGCATGAAAATGTTATAAATCTAAAAGTAACTTCTATTGCCATCGCCAACTATGTAAAAATATCCTAAATAAAGCCAATAAAATAAAAACATTGCAGCCTGCAGGTAGAAAATATCCTATAAATCACATTGGCTACGCAAGGCCTGTCTGCAAGGAACTTGAAACATTGTATCAACTATCAACTTGGTCCGGGTGCTAGCAAACTAGCAACATTGTATAAAATATTCTGGGCCCTCAGAGTTTCCTGTGAACAGACACAGCTGTAGGCTACTTGAGAAAGGAATAAGAAGTAATCAGTTAGGCCTATTTTATGAAGTTTCCACTGGATCAGAGAATTATTATTATTTTATTTTTTGCAGAGTGGTTATTGAGTTGTAAAGATTTTTCAAATAGGCTACATTGAGGAACTATTGTCAATGGATGTAAAACCAGACTGTTTACTTTGAGATGCTCCACAGCTCAATAGTTGTGGTGAGTTAAGACAATCAGAAATACTATCAGATCCCCAAATGGGCACATGTATAGGCCTACATTTGCATGCAGGCCAATTAGTCTAGGTCTACTTCTATGCGTAATCAGGTGCGCGTCCTTACTCAATATTGACAGGAGCGCTCCAAACAAAAGACAATGAATAAATTGACAGAACTCGTAAATGGAATGCAATAAACCAAAACCTTATTTCTCACAAGTGTAGCATAAGTTATGCGCTCTGCATACAATGTGTCCATTCCGACAATGAGAATGGTAAACTGTAATAATAATAATAATAATAATAATAAATTGAATGCATTAACAGAAACCATAACCAAGTTAACATTTAATTGAGCAAGGTTATTGGGAAAGCCTTTCCATCATTACCAGATGATGGTTATCATTAGCATCATCGCTAACGGCAACACAAAGTTTAGACATACGCAAGCATCACACACGCACACACAGGGGCATTCCTGTGCCGTTTCAGAAAGCTGCAGGAAAATACGAATCACTCATGCATTTTGTTCATGTCTTATGATTAACTTGGGCAAATTAATGCATTTTCTAATAAGTTCAATACATTTACTTGATTTCCTACTAAGTTCAATACATTTTGGAATATTGTTGAATTCCATTTTAATGTCTGGATTCCGTGATTAGGCCCTACCTATAGCCTTTCTGTCTTTACCCTAAGGCCTCCATACCAGGGAGTTAGGGACAAGCAAGGTTATCCTCTAGGCTTTACAGTTTGCAAAAAAAATACCAAATGAATGAAGAAGCCATTAACCACGTTTCAATTCACAGTTTTTACGCAAGTAAAGTCCTTCCGCATAAAAATAACTGCTGGAATGGAAACAGGAAGGTTCAATACAATTGTATAAATGCCGACAGATCATTTATTCGTTCGACATGGTAGGGTCTTTTTGTGTCTGTAAAATTAATTTGGCAATAAATGATGGTGGAAGCACCTTTATGCACAAATATTAATTAAATAACCATCATATCGACGTAAACTTGGGAGTCACGCGATGATATGGTGTGTGGTCCTCCCACTACGACTTGGGAGAGCACACAGTTTATTAGGCTACAGATTAAATAAGTTATGATGAACCGCACAGGATTGTGAAAGTGTACGGTGATCTTGATGCTCCTTTCCAATTAAAATCGAGGGTCTTATTTTGGTGACATGATGATCGATGCTAAATCAAATCAAATGTATTGGTCACATACACATGGTTAACAGATGTTATGAGTGTAGTGAAATGCTTGTGCTTCTAGTTCTGACAGTGCAGCAATGTCTAGCAAGTAATATCTAACAGTTACGCAACGAAAATCTAATACACACAAATCTAATAAGTAAAGGAATGGAATAAGAATATATAAATATATGAGCAATGTCATTATCCTTATCAGTGCCAGACTAAGATGCAATAGATAGTATAGAATACAGTATATAAACTCAGCATAAAAAGAAATGTCGTCTCACTGCCAACTGCGTTTATTTTCAGCAAACGTAACATGTGTAAATATTTGTATGCCCATAACAAGATTCAACAACTGAGACAAACTGAACAAGTTCCACAGACATGTGACTAACAGAAATTGAATAATGTGTCCCTGAACAAAGGGGGGGTCAAAATGTAACAGTCAGTATCTGGTGTGACCACCAGCTGCATTAAGTACTGCAGTGCATCTCCTCATCATGGACTGCACCTGATTTGCCAGTTCTTGCTGTGAGATGTTACCCCACTCTTCCACCAAGGCACCTGCAAATTCCCAGACATTTCTGGGGGGAATGGCCCTAGCCCTCACCCTCCGATCCAACAGGTCCCAGACGTGCTCAATGGGATTGATATCCGGGCTCTTCGCTGGCCATGGCAGAACACTGACATTCCTGTCTTGCAGGAAATCACACACAGAACGAGCAGTATGACTGGTGGAATTGTCATGCTGGAGGGTCATGTCAGGATGAGCCTGCAGGAAGGGTATCACATGAGGGAGGAGGATGTCTTCCCTGTAACGCACAGCGTTGAGATTGCCTGCAATGACAACAAGCTCAGTCCGATGAGGCTGTGACACACCGCCCCAGACCATGACGGACCCTCCACCTCCAAATCGATCCCGCTCCAGAGTACAGGCATCGGTGTAACGCTCATTCCTTCAACGATAAACGCGAATCTGACCATCACCCCTGGTGAGACAAAACTGCGACTCATCAGGGAAGAGCACTTTATGCCCGGTCCAGTGACGGTGGGTTTGTGCCAATAGGCGACGTTGTTGCCGGTGATGTCTGGTGAGGACCTGCCTTACAACAGGCCTACAAGCCCTCAGTCCAGCCCCTCTCAGCCTATTGCGGACAGTCTGAGCACTAATGGAGGGATTGTGCATTCCTGGTGCAACTCGGGCAGTTGTTGTTGCCATCCTGTACCTGTCCCGCAGGTGTGATGTTCGGATGTACCGATCCTGTGCAGGTGTTGTTACATGTGGTCTGCCACTGCGAGGACGATCAGCTGTCCGTCCTGTCTCCCTGTAGCGCCGTCTTAGGCGTCTCACAGTACGGACATTGCAATTTATTGCCCTGGCCACATCTGCAGTCCTCATGCCTCCTTGCAGCATGCCTAAGGCTCGTTCACGCAGATGAGCAGGGACCCTGGGCATCTTTCTTTTGTTTTTCCAGAGTCAGTAGAAAGGCCTCTTTAGTGTCCTACGTTTTCATAACTGTGACCTTAATTGCCTACCGTCTGTAAGCTGTTAGTGTCTTAACGACCGTTCCACAGGTGCATGTTAATTAACTGTTTATGTTTCATTGAACAAGCATGGGAAACAGTGTTTAAACCATTTTTTGATTATTTGGATTATCTTTGAAAGACAGGGTCCTGAAAAGGGGACGTTTCTTTTTTTTGCTTAGTTTACATATGAGATGGGTAATGCAAGATATGTAAACATTAAAGTGGCATTATTAAAGTGACTAGTGTTCCATTGATTAAAGTGGCCAGTGATTTTCTAGTCTATATGTAGGCCGCAGCCTCTCTGTGCTAGTGATGGCTGTTTAACAGTCTGATAGCCTTGAGATAGAAGCTGTTTTTCAGTCTCTCTGTCCCATCTTTGATGCACCTGTACTGTCCTCGCCTTCTGGATGATAGCGGAGTGAACAGGCAGTGGTTCGGGTGGTAGTTGTCCTTGATTATCTTTTTGGCCTTCCTGTGACATCGGGTGCTGTAGGTCACCTGGAGGGCAGGTAGTTTGCCCCCGGTGATGCATTGTGCAGACCGCACCACCCTCTGGAGAGCCCTGCGGTTGTGGGCGGTGCAGTTGCCGTACCAGGCGGTGATACAGCCCGACAGGATGCTCTCAATTGTGCATCTGTAAAAGTTTGTGAGGGTTTTAGGTGACAGGCCACATTTCTTCAGCCTCCTAAGGTTGAAGAGATGCTGTTGCGCCTTCTTCACCACACTGTCTGTGTGGGTGGACCATTTCAGTTTGTCAGTGATATGTACGCTGAGGAACTTAAAACTTTCCACATTCTCCACTGCTGTCCCGTTGATGTGGATATGGGGGTACTCCCTCTGCTGTTTCCTGAAATCCACGATCATCTCCTTAGTTTTTTTGACGTTGAGTGAGAGGTTATTTTCCTGACACCACACTCCAAGAGCCCTCACCTCCTCCCTGTAGGCTGTCATGGTTGTTGGTAATCAAGCCTACTACTGTTGTGTCGTCTGCAAACTTGATGATTGAGTTGGAGGCGTGCATTGCTACGCAGTCATGCGTGAACAGGGAGTACAGGAGGGGGCTGAGCACACACCCTTGTAGGGCCCCAGTGTTGAGGATCAGCGAAGTGGAGATGTTGTTTCCTACCTTCACCACCTGTGGGCGGCCCGTCAGGAAGCCCAGGACCCAATTGCACAGGGCGGGGTTGAGACCCACGGCCTCAAGCTTGATGATGAGCTTGGAGGGTACTATGGTGTTGAATGCTGAGCTAGTCAATGAACAGCTTTCTTACATAGGTATTCCTCTTGTCCAGATGGGATAGGGCAGTGTGCAGTGTGTTTGCATCGTCTGTGGACCTATTGGGGCAGTATGCAAATTGAAGTGGGTCTAGGGTGACAGGTAAGGTGGAGGTGATATGATCCTTGACTAGTCTCTCAAAGCACTTCATGATGACAGAAGTGAGTCCTACGGGGCGATAGTCATTTAGTTCAATTACCTTTGCATTCTTGGGTACAGGAACAATGGTTGCCATCTTGAAGCATGTGGGGTCAGCAGACTGAGATAGGGAGAGATTGAATATGTCCGTAAACACACCAGCCAGCTGGTCTGCGCATGCTCTGAGGACGGGGCTAGGAATGCCGTCTGGGCCGGCAGCCTTGCGAGGGTTAACACGTTTAAATGTCTTACTCACGTCCGCCGTGGAGAAGGAGAGCCCACAGTCATTGGTAGCTGGCCGCGTCGGTGGCACGCTGTTATCCTCAATGCGTGCAAAGAACTTGTCTTGCCGCCAGACAAGCTAAACGTTGGTGTCCGCGATGGAGCTGGTTTTCCTATTGTAGTCCGTGATTGTCTGTAAACCCTGCCACATATGTCTTGTTTCTGAGCCGTTGAATTGCGACTCCACTTTGTCTCGATATTGACGTTTTGCCTGTTTGATTGCCATGCGGAGGGAACGACCACTCTGTTTGTATTCTGCTATATTCCCCGTCACCTTGCCATGGCTAAATGCGGTGGTTCGTGCTTTCAGTTTTTCGCAAATGCTGGCATCTATCCACGGTTTCTGATTAGGGTAGGTTTTAATAGTCATAACAGGTACGACATCTCCTATACACTTCCTTATAAACCCACTCACCAAATCAGCGTATACGTCTATATTATTCTCAGAGGCTACCTGGAACATATCCCAGTCTGCATGATCAAAACAATCTTGTAGTGTGGATTCCGATTGGTCAGACCAGCGTTGAATAGTCCTAAGCACGGGTGCTTCCTGTTTGAGTTTCTGCCTTTAGGAAGAGAGGAACAAAATGTAGTCGTGGTCAGATTTGCCTAAAGGAGGGCAGGGGAGGGCCATGTATGCATAGCGGAAATGAGTGTAACAATGGTCCAGCGTTTTTCCAGCGCGAGTGCTACAGTCAATATGCTGATAGAATTTAGGTAGCCCTTTTCTCAAATTTGCTTTGTTAAAATCCCCAGCTACAAAAAATGCAGCCTCAGGATATATGGTTTCCAGTTTGCATAAAGTCCAGTGGAGTTCCTTGAGAACCGTCGTGGTATCAGCTTGAGGGGGGATAAACACGGCTGTAACAATAACCAAACAGAATTCTCTTGGGAGACAATACGGTCTGCATTTGATTGTGAGGAATTCTAGGTCAGGTGAACAAAATGACTTGAGTTCCTGTATGTTGTTACAATTACACCATTAGTCTTTAGTCATGAAACATACCTCCCCACCCCTCTTCTTCCCGAAGAGATGTTTATTCCTGTCGGCGCGATGTACTGAGAACCCAGATGGCTGTATGGACGGGGACAGTATATCCCGAGAGAGCCATGTTTCCATGAAACAGAGTATGTTACAATCCCTAATGTCTCTCTGGAAAGCAACCCTTGCCCTGATCTCGTCCACTTTGTTGTCTAGGGACTGGACATTAGCGAGTAATATACTTGGAAGCGATGGGTGGAGTGCGCGCCTCCTAAGTCTGACTAGGAGACCGCTCCGGCTCCCTCTCCTCCGGCGGCGTTGTTTTGGGTCGGCCTCTCGAATCAGTTCAAATGCCCTGGGTGGTGCGAACAAAGGATCCGCTTCAGGAAAGTCGTATTCCTGGTCGTAGTGCTGGTAAGTTGACGCCGCTCTGATATCCAATAGTTCTCCCCGCCTGTATGTAATTACACTTAAGATTTTCTGGACTAACAATGTAAGAAATAATACATAAAAAAACAAAATACTGCAAAGTTTCCTAAGGACTAGAAGCGAGGCAGCCCTCTCTGTCGACACAATCATACGGTCCTAACTAGAGATGTAGCCGTTTACAAAGAAAAATATTCATAATATCCTTATCCATAATAATCTCATCATGTAGACTAGCCTGTCCGCACTATATCTGCAAGCTGTTGGCTAGAGTGCATGTGTGAAGACCATAGTAGTCACATTTGCTATTTAATGCAAAAGTTTGTGACAAAACTATCAGTAGAGTTGAAAATGCGATGGAAATACACTGAATTATTGATTTTATTCGGTACATGAAAACTTAAGCGAAGAAGTACATTTTGTGTGCACTAAATCATCAGGCACTGTTTTTTCTCCGCAACAAGTCCATTTGGTGGAAACACACCACTGGTGGGAAAATTTACATATTTTCTTTATGCGGATTCTAGAATATTCACATGAAAATCTGTTGCCAATTGGATGGAAACCTAGCTACCAAGTCTGATTCAGATGCATACCGAATCACAGCGCAGGTGTCCACTGTGTGGTGTTCATTGCAGAGGTGGGTCCACTTGAGCGGTGCATGTTTGGCCTACGTGATTGAAGAATGACTAGGTCAATGTGGAATGCCTTTGGCTGAAACTAATTATTCTTTCCATACCCTCAAGACAATAGGATACGTTCTAGGTTTCTGATAGTCCTGTCATTATAAAACAATCAGGTAGGCTGTTGGAGAACAGATCATAGACCATGATAACTTTAGCCTAAATGGCCACCTATTTGAGAAGAGTAATCACAAACACAAAACGACAACCATAAGTGTTTCAGTCGTTTTGCGTGAGCATACATACCTCTCGTAACTCGAGTCTCTGTGCAACTGCCTCCAAACATTCCTGGCCGGTGCTCTCCACAGAAAGCGTAAACTCAACAAATTCACCATTGAGCAGCTGAATGCGTGTGACCAGACAGCTCTTGCTTGAGACAGTATACCTTCGAGTTCTTTTGAGTTTTAAGCCGAATGGCAAGGGCATGTTTCAAAGTCCTTTGGCAAGGAGTCCTTCCTTGATCCAGAAAAATGTGTCCCGTTGTCTCTAAACTTTGCCCATCAAAAATGTAGTGGACAAGAGGCAATCCATGAGTTGGATACATGTATCCCTGCGAAAACAGAAAGAGACAAAATATGAGAGAATACAAATTATTTGATGAAGTCACACACATTTTCCAGATAACATTTCCAGACAAACAACATAGCAAACAGTATTATACGATATAACATGTTATTTGGAATCACCAACTTTGGTTCTGGAGTGCAACAGGGTGTGCAGGCTTTTGTTCCAACCCAACACTAATACACACCTGATTTTAGAGTTCAACATTGATAAGTTGATTCAGTTATGTAGTGTGCGTGGCTGGAACAAAAGCCTGCAATCCCTGACCACCAGTGACCACTGGCAGAGGCAACCAATCTCAGAACATAAAACAGATGCCCGTTATGAAACAACACATCTTATTGGTAATCCACTTAGCTAGCTAGACAGGGAGCATCTGATTTCTTGGTGCAAATCAGAGTCAGTCAGTCGAGTGATTATTGAATGAGCTGCGAATAACTCTGTACCAGGAAATTGCTAATGGTGGTCCATCCCAAAGTTATCTGTAGGACACTTCCATTACACTGGATTAACAGAGATCAAAATTGATTGTTGATAGACAGTGCAGTGAGCTCCAGTCCAGATTTAACTAGTAAACTAAAGTTGTTTGTTGCAAAGACATCAACGACTTTTACTTGCTAATAGCCAACATACTATATTACAATGTTCAATACAGGTTATATTGTAGAGACGGACAGTCTCCATCAGAAATTAGCATATTTTTTGACGTTAGTTAGCTAGCTCAGTTAGCGGGTTAGCTGGCTAACTAGCCTTGCTAATTTAGTTAGCTAACGTTAGCCCACTAACGCCATCAAGTTGAAGCAACAAGTTACTTCGGGTTACATGAAAAATAAACAAACACTATTTTAGACATAGCTAGCTATACGGTTATAAAACAGAGAAGCTCCCCCCAAAAAATAGAACCAAATACAGTACAGTATGTTTAAGGACTCTGATAGAACTATCCAGTACACCAGGTTTTCCCAAACTCAGTCCTCCCCCCCCCCCCCCCAGTGCACGTTTTGGTTTTTGCCCTAGCACTACACAGCTGATTCAATTACCCTTCTAATCATCAAACGTCGATTATTTCAATCAACTGTGTAGTGCAGTGGGGGGCCCAGGACAAAGTGTGTGAAAGCCTGCAGTACAATAACTTTCGCTAATTAGCTTGCAGGATAGCATAGCTAACGTCGTCAGCGTCAAAATGGGCTCTCCATCACAACAAAATCCCTGCAAATAGCTGACATTAGCACCTTTACCTTATTGATGTATGTCAAAAGCAAATTAGTCCATTTGTAAATTGTGCATATCCAAATCTGCCGCCAGGCATAATAGGTGATAGTTATGTCAAATATCGAAAAGGTTTAGTTTGGAAGCTGCATGCCGAAATCCAACTAAGCTAACGACGTGCTTCACTTCCTGCCGAAAGAGCAACAAGTGTGTATGAATCTCTACATCCGCGGATCTACATTCTACTCTTTTTAACACAACCGTTTTCCTATTATTTTGATTTACATAGACAAGCAAAACTATGAACATTTACATTACATATATTTTCTTCAGGTCCAGTATGGGTTTCAACGGCTGTATTTCTTTATAAAATGTTGAGTAGTTCTTCAACAGCGGCGTGATACACGGCAGATTTTGAGGCAATGACATCAGACAGCTGGAATGCCAGGCAGGGAATATTCCAAGAATGAGACAGCTGCCTCCCTGTTTACGACTACGTTATTCAGCACCGTACACTGAAAACCTATATTTCTGCTCATATTATACTTATGTGTGAACTGTCCGTTTAATTTACTCATGCCAGCTGAGGTTACTGTAAAATATTGTGTGATACTGCTGTATGAAAATAGACAAACACCCCCCCCCTCCCCTCCCCTCCCCTCCCACTAGGACAGAGCTGAGACAAGTTGACTTTTGTGCAGAGTGCATGATGAAAGAGGCGGCGGTTCATAACAAAACATTTTCCTGTAAACATGAAAAACACTGTCAGGCAGTCACAGCAAAGGTCACAGTTAACTAAGCTACATGTTGCAGAGAGCACAGTGCCTCTTATTAAAGGCTTTTCCTATATTATTCACTGATAGTCTGTTATTGGAAACCAATAGGCTACATAGTGAGCAATACACTGATAAATATATCAAAATACATTTCTGGTCTAGTTCATTCTCATCATTGTGTAACAATAATCCAAATACATATTGGTCAAAACTTTGTAAGGTAAATCTCTACAATACAGTGCCCAGAACAGGAATGGGCATTTACAAAAAGTATGAAATATACACCTTCCATTTATAAAACACATTTGAGATGCAAAAACCTCAATATCAAATTGCTCGTAGCGAAAATAGTCTCCTTAAACTCATCCCTAAAATACAAATAAAATCAGAACTCATCATTACACTTTACATTTTAGTAATTTAGCAGACGCTCTTATCCAGAGCGACTTACAGTTAGTGAGTGCATAAATTTTTCCTACTGGCCCCCCTGTGGGAAACAAACCCACAACCCTGGCATTGCAAGCGCCATGCTCTACCAATTGAGCTACAGGAGGAGCTGAAAGAGGCTAGTGTGTTTATATTCTCAGTGACTCCTGGCCCTGGGAAATCAGATGCATTGGACACATGCAAAGACTCAGCCTGCTCTTTGGACAGTCCACCATGATTGTCTTCTAGGTTGATTGTGATCCTCCTCAAGGGTCAGAGGGGTATTTTCACCAACTGAAAGAGGACAGCCATATTCCCTGTCATGATCCTGCTCATCAAGGCCCTCTGTACCTTCATCAGCATCAGATGAACCAACAGACAGACCGACAGAGTCAGGCCTCTCAGGAGGGCTACCATGTAACGGTGTGGACACTGACAATTGATCGACATTATCCAGCCCACCACTGTCCTTGTTACTAAACAATGCATAGCGAAAAAGGTCATTGTCCTCTTTGGTTTCTGATGGTGATCCTCCGTCCAGAGACTCCATATACTGCAGATGACTAGGAAGAAGGTCAATCTCTGTCTCTTCACCACTCTGAGGCTCTGCACTACAGGTAGCTGTGTTCGCTGGACTTTGCAAGTCATTGCACAGAGTCTCCAGAAGATGGCGCATTTGGTCCTTGAAAAGAACCAAACCAAACTTATTGACCCTAAGTAATTCTCTGACAGATCTCTAATTTCATGTACAGAACATATCAGCTTGTTTGATTTTCTTTTTGCCATTTTGTATGTAGCATGAGTGTAAAAAACAACACATTAATGCAGCCAGTGCAGATGCCCATGTAAAGTTGACACTCAACTCATCTTATCCATGTTTATTATTGTCCACATGACGTTCAAACACCCGCTCTAAGACACTTTGGAACGAGAAGAAATTAGTATCAATACCTACACGTGGTAACAACACATTCAGATTCACACGGACACAGAGACAAGTTAATCAACATCATCATGCCCCTGTTTAAAGAACTATTACAGGTTTCATGAGGTGGGATTACTACGAGGATCATCACCTGTGATTTATAGCCAAGCATTAATACTAGATGAGGTGCTGGCTACAAGGTCTCATGTCCTGAGAAAAACAGTTAAAATATTCAGACCCCTTCCCTTTTTCCACATTTTGATTACGTTACCGCCTTTTTCTAAAATGGATTAAATCAATCAAAATTCCTCATCAATCTACACCCAATACCCCATAATGACAACGAGAAAAAACAGAAATACCTTATTTACATAAGTATTCAGACCCTTTACTATGAGACTTGAAATTGAGCTCGGGTGCATCCTGTTTCCATTGATCATCCTTGAGATGTTTCTACAACTTCATTTGAGTCCACCTGCGGTAAATTCAATTGATTGGACATGATTTTGAAAAGGCACACACCTGTCTATATAAAGGTCTCACAGTTGACAGCGCATTTCAGAGCAAAAACCAAGCCATGAGGTCGAAGGAATTGTCCGTAGAGCTCAGAGACAGGATTGTGTCGAGGATCAGATCTAGGGAAGGGTACAACATTTCTGCAGCTTTGAAGGTCCCCAAGAAAACAGTGGCCTCCGTCATTCTTAAATGGAAGAAGTTTGGAACCACCAAGACTCTTCCTAGAGCTGACCGCCCGGCCAAACTGAGCTTTCGGTGGAGAAGGGCCTTGGTCAGGGAGGTGACCAAGAACCCGATGGTCACTCTGACAGAGCTCCTCTGTGGAGATGGGAGAACCTTCCAGAAGGACAACCATCTCTGCAGTACTCCACCAATCAGGCCTTTATGGTAGAGTGGCCAGACGGAAGCCACTCCTCAGTAAAAGGCACATGACAGCCCACTGAGTTTGCCAAAAGGCACCTAAAGGACTCTCAGACCATGAGAAACAAGATTCTCTGGTATGATGAAACCTAGATTGAACTCTTTGGCCTGAATGCCAAGCGTCACATCTGGAGGAAACCTGGCACCATCCCTACGGTGAAGCATGGTGGCGGCAGCATCATGCTGTGGGGATGTTTTTCAGCGGCAGGGACTGGTCAGGATCGAGGGAAACATGAGCGGAGCAAAGTACAGAGAGATCCTTGATGAAAACCTGCTCCAGAGCGCTCAGGACCTCAGACTGTGGCGAAGGTTCACCTTCCAACAGGACAACGACCCTAAGCACACAGCCAAGACAATGCAGGAGTGGCTTTGGGACAAGTCTCTGAATGTCCTTGAGTGGCCCAGCCAGAGCCTGGACTTGAACCCGATCGAACACATCTGGAGAGACCTGAAAATAGCTGTGCAGCGACCCTCCCCACCCAACCTGACAGAGCTTGAGAGGATCTGCTGAGAAGAACGGGAGAAACTCCCCAAATACAGGTGTGCCAAGCTGGTAGCGTCATACCCAAGAACGCTCGAGGCTGTAATCGCTGCCAAAGGTGCTTCAACAAAGTACTGAGTAAAGGGTCTGAATAGTTATGTAAATGTCATATTTCAGTTGTTTTATTTTTGTATAAATTGGGCAAACATTTCTAAAAACCTGTTTTTGGTTTGTCATTATGGGGTATTGTATGTAGATTGATGAGGGGGGAAAAAACAATTGAATCCATTTTAGAATAAGGCTGTAATATAACAAAATACGGAAAAAGTCAAGGGGTCTGAATACTTTCCGAATGCACTGTATATACAAGAGTATGTGGACATCCCTTCAAATTAGTGGATTCGGCTATTTCAGTCACACCCGTTGCTGACAGGTGTATAAAATCGAGCACACAGCCATGCAATCTCCATAGACAAACATTGGCAGTAGAATGGCCTTACTGAAGAGTTCAGTGACTTTCAACATGGCACCGTCACTGGATGCCACCTTTCCAACAAGTCAGTTCATCAGATTTCTGCCCTGCTAAAGCTGCCCCGGTCAACTGCAAGTGCTGTTATTGTGAAGTGGAAACGTCTAGGAGCAACAACGGCTCAGCCACGAAGCGGTAGGCCACAAAAGCTCACAGAACGGGACTGCCGAGTGCTGAAGCGAGCAATGCGTACAAATCTAAAGCTCTCCGCCATTGGACTCTGGAGCAGTGGAAACACCTTCTCTGGAGTGATGAACCACGCTTCACCATCTGGCAGTCCAACGGACGAATCTGGGTTTGGCGGATGCCAGGAGAACAGTACCTGCCCCAATGCATAGTGCCAACTGTAAAGTTTGGTGGAGGAGGAATAATGGTTTGGGGCTGTTTTTCATGGTTGGGCTAGGCTCCTTAGTTCCAGTGAAGGGAAATCGTAACGCTACAGCATACAATGACATTCTAGACGATTCTGTGCTTCCAACTTTTTGGCAACAGTTTGGGGAAGGCCCTTTCCTGTTTCAGCATGACAATGCCCCCATGCACAAAGCAAGGTCCATACAGAAATGGTTTGACGAGATCGGTGTTGAAGAACTTGACTGGCCTGCACAGAGCCCTGACCTCAAACCCATCGAACACCTTTGGGATGAATTGGAACGCCGACTGTGAGCCAGGCCTAATCGCCCAACATTAGTGCCCGACCTCACTAATGCTCGTGGCTGAATGGAAGTCCCTGCAGCAATGTTACAACATCTAGTGGAAAGTCCAGAAGAGTGGAGGCTGTTATAGCAGCAAGGGGGGGACCAACTCCATATTAATGCCCACGATATTGGAATGAGATTTCTTCGACGAGCAGGTGTCCACATACATTTGGTCTTGTAGTGTCCCTGTTAGAGTACAGACCCCTGGACAATATCTAATTTGTTACATTAGCAATACATTCAAGGCACATTAATTATTTCTCACTGTAGAGAAAATAATGGTAAGCCGGAATGGTTACTTTACAGGGAAACTATGTAGGTGAGACTGCTAGGAGCTGCTAGGGTTCTGCAGTGATCATGAATGTATTATATTTAGCTGCCTATTTCACACTTTACCATCTTCTCCTATATTTATAGAAGCTTTTAAAGCAGTAATTAAACCTCTCTCTCACCTCATTCAATAAGACCCCTGTGCTATGAAAGATTAGGCAACACGTTACCTTCCATGATAGGTCTCCTGCCGTGGTAGGCTGCTCCTCTCCTGTCTGACTTCATGGTCCTGGGAGTGAAGGGTTTGTCCAGGGTAAAGCTGTGGGCATGTTTCTGATTCAGGTCGCCACTGTAGGTCTTCTGGACAGGGTTCTGGAGGGCCCTGTAGCCACTCTGGGTACCTGTGGTGGCGCAGGAGTGGGCTGACTGCTGCCTCTGGAAGTTTGGGCTCCTGTAGCTGTACTCTGATGCAGAGTGGAGGAAGTGTGGGGGGCTCCCAGACTCACCGAATGTTTGGGACGGTAAACTATTTGCTTGGCGTGAAAGGAGGTTTGAGTCTTGGGAGTGGAAATCATGGAGCTTCCCAGGTAGAGCTTCTTCACCTGCTCTGGAAGGCAAGAGAGACAAATCCTTAAAAATCAACACAATCATCTTTACCATCTATTTCTATGTAGCATTGCACCCTTTTATAATGACGTGTGACTGCCAGTGTACACTTCAAGAATTATTTAAAATTAGGTGAATAAGATAACTACATGACAAACAGTAATAGGGCAGAAAACACTGCAGTGCCTTCTTACACTGGCATTTTGTGATGGGCAGGAGGCCCTGGTGTTGGTTCTGCTGCTCCTCTGTGAATGTGAGCGGGCTGATTGAGGACTTCTCTCAGAGCTGGCATCTTTCCTCAACTGTTCCCACCTTAACTGGTCATTGTCTGTGAATGTACACAACGATAAATAACTAAATCAGGTCATATAGCCCATGTGCGATTTTTTCAGATTTTTGATCGATTTCAGATGGTAAAAAATTAACTTACATTTTGCACTGCTTAGCATACTTTTGCGTACTGATGCATCAATGGCAACTGTAATACTGTACATTGGAAGACAATTATGATATTAATAACCAAAGTCAGCTTATGGTTCAAATTGAAAGGGACCCACATGAGTTAGGCTATTTTACCATTAGCTGAATACACCTTTTTGTAGTGGGAAACCATATGATCTTGAATAATGTACTGAGTCAGTCTGCTGGACAACCTAGGGCAGAATGCTGAAAACACAAAACAATATTTGTTATTGAGGGGAATGTTTTTCCTGTGGAGATTGAATAAACAATAAACACATACCCCCCTTTGTGGTGTGGAGCTGTATGTTGAGGTTTAAATTACACAGTATACATTGTTATAGCCTAATACTTACGGCTGCTTCTTAAACTAATTTGTCTTCTGGGTGGTCCTGTCAGACCTTGCCCTGGGCCAGGCGATGCATTACCTAAAATTGATAAAGTGAATAAGTTTATTAGCCAGTGATGTTAGAAATAACTATTATAAGATAGCTAAATAAAAAAGCTAGCTAGATAGCTAATCTAACAGAGTGGAGGAGCTTTTTCTTCTTTGGGTTTTATGGCGAACTACACGCAAAAAGGTCATTGTCGCCACCAACTGTGCGGGATGAAAATAAAAGATCCCAAAAGACTAAATTGATGTGGATAAAAATACTCATACTGACTAGCCAAAAAATCACTCATCAACATGCTCCTTGCTTCATCAATAATCCATGTCTGATCCCTACACAGGCTCAGGAGCCTGGGAGGGCGGAACATCTTTCATCACCAATAACCCTTGTAAATCTTCCGCTGTGAATTCCTGAAGCCCCATATACTTTCCTGCCACAGCTACAATGATGTCCAATTTCTTTGATTTCCTTTCCACTTGAGCTGTGCATTTATGATAGTTGCAATGAACACCACAAGATTCACTTTCTTTACATACAGCATGTCCGGTTCTCTTGGTTGACAAATAGGCCTATTCACTATGGGCATTGATGCACATTACCATTTTTTCAACTTCACTTGCTCTCTCAATTATTTTGATTGCCTCCACATTGGGCGGTCAATCGGATCTCCTAACTTTTGCCACCTCAACCTCCTTCACTCTTACAGGGCACTCCACGAACTCTGGGTCATGATCCCCACCACAATTGCTTTCTTCACTCTGATCTTCTGTATAGTCCTCCAACCGTCTGCACACACATGAAACATGGCCAAATCCTTTAAAATGTTAACAATGTAATGGTTTGGGGACGAAAGCTCTTACTGCGTACCTCATATACCCCAGCTTTACATGCGTTGGGAGGTGCTCAATATCAAAAAACAATAAAACCGACAAACTTTCTTCCATCCACCATGCGGGTCAAGCGAACAGCACTAACAACATCTGGGATTCCTGTCGCAAGGTTATCGACACCCCTGGATATTACTCTTTAACAGGTGCCCTACTCCGGAGTTCGAAGTACGATACTTCGTGTGACTCAATTCTTGTGAGGCCCGCTGCCCTCTTCCTCCGTTCCTCAGACACACAATTAATCAGGACACAGGGCACTCATCGGATGTGGCAGGGCTTGCGAACTATCACGGATTACAAAGGGAAACCCAGCCACAAGCTGCCCAGTGACGCGAGCCTACCAGACGAGGTAAATGCCTTCTATGTTCGCTTCGAGGCAAGCAACATGCGTGTTGGCGGGCATGCAGTAGCCAAGAATGCCACGCAGCTTCCCCGGACTGCCGTTAGCCACTTTCAATGCAACAAACCGAAACAAAACAAACTATGCAAGAGATTTTGTTGTAGACATAACGCATTGGAGTAGGATTCTATTGCGCACGACTAAGACAGCCGAACTCTACACAGACATACTGGTGCGGCATAACCAATCAGAGCTGCAATAGGCCTATATGCAAATAGACCATTGCCATATATGGATCTGTGCCATTTACTTTGAACTGGACTTTGTTGGCAGCTGTGGTCGTGAGTAGATATGCTTGTTTTGAGATCAAAGCAAGAGCTGCATGTAGCCACGTGTGCACATTTTGTTTATATCCTTTGCTAGTTAGTGAATTATCAGCCCAGTTATAGATCATTTGTAGTCAGCAATAGGGAAGTGATTACTTCCTACAAGAGCACAAAACATGTACATTTCTGGACATCTTTGAAAAACAAGTCAGGTAAAGTGCTTTTTTTTTGTCTTAAAGAGGCAGTGTTGTATTTTGAGACATGCTTGAATAAACTAAGTAGCCAATAGGCAGAGGGTAGCATAATTTGACTGATTCTCTGTAATAATGGTTTGGGAATAATAATGCATTTTATTTTGTGAAGTGGTTTCATGCATCAAACAACAGAACAACATTTTCAGTCACCTCCTTGTCTGAAGGACAGGTTAATGTCAAGCCCTGCATGTATTATTATTATTTTTTAAGACTCATGGAATGTAGGCCTACATTGAACACCACACATTGGCTGCTACTGTTGGCTGAATGGTAGAACAGCTATTTCCATGTTAAAATGTTATGGGATGCATTTGCTCCATTGTTTTTGATGGTAGGCCACTCTGGTAGGCCTACATTTTGATCAAATAGCCACATCATCCTATTTGGCCACTGTTAAAACTGTAACTTAAAGCGGGTACAGCCTCAGTGTTCACAGTAAACCCGCGCTGGAAGTTGCACAGACTTTTCACAACGTTCAAATTTGCGCTCAGCAGACCTGAAATTTGCTCAGTGCCAAACAAAATTAAAGGGAACATTGCCCAGTACATCTCTGGGGCCGAGCTCCTTGCCATCCAGGACTTCCAGAGGAAGGCCCTAAAAATGGTATGTATTGACGTAATGCTTGTAGTGATGTAATGCTAGTGGGTGTGGCATGTAGTGACGTAATGCTAATGAGCATTGTACTGTTACAAGTACCCTCAATGGCAGTGGGCGCGGCGTATAGTTACTGCAGTCCGCAGATAGATATTTTTGATAGGAGGGGCTGCAACAGGATACGTGTGCTAGCGGTTGTTAAAGTAAAAGCCGTGTGACTCTAGCTAACGTTACCTGACCATCGCTCCAGTTAGCTAGCCTTCGAGAGGTTAGTAATAAGGGCCACCAACAAGAAATGTTATTAAGTTAGCTACACAGTGTACGTACAGACAGACAGATGCACGCACACCTGTTTGATATGATAGCTAGATCGCTTCAGCCTTTGGCTCAATGCTTTTAATATAAGCTTTCTGTCTTGCCTGTCCTACCGCCTCCTAACTAGCTAGCTGATTTCCTACAATGCTTGGTGCCTTTACTGACAGACAAGACAGAGAGCTTATATTAAAAGCATTGAGCTAAAGGCTAAAGCTAATTTAGATAGAAACTAGCTATCATACCAAACAGGTGCGTGTGCATCTGTCTGTACTTACACTGTCCAACGATAGATCAAGACTCCGCAAACACAGCTTGACATATCTACCAAGTTTTGACCATTACTCTACCTCTGCCATCAGGTGAGTAGGAAGTTATTATCAGCACTATATGGTGTAGGTAGCTATATCTGGTCCTTCCCTCCACCTAATAATGGCATAAATGAAAAGAGAAGGGCACAGTATGGCATCTGAGCAGATCATCATGAACTTTATGTAGTTACATCAGCCAATGCATTAAGTTAAAACACACACACACAGGACCATTCACACAGTTCAGTCACTCAGCCCTATCCAGTGTGGACATGATGCTCTCAAGGACCTGCACTACCGCCTCCTACAACACCCTGATGAGGGTGAATGGTTTGACATCAGCTGACACCCTCCTCTCCTTCCCTGTCCTTCAAGGAAAGCCCCTTCTTCACTCTTCCTGTTAGGCATGATGCTCTCAAGGTGTGTCTCTCCAGCTCTCTCATGTCGTGTGGTGTTACCTATAGATGACCCCTAGACACTTTCAAATTGTTTTCCTGTGAATGGTTGTCCACATCAGGCTATTTACTTGTTACCTGTGTGTTTAAATACTGCATCCCTCACAGAATTTGAATGATCCCTCAACTGCTCCATGCTTTCGCTCTCTCTTTCTCTCCAGGATACATTAGGGGAAATGGTTTTGCTGTTGGCACAAATCCCATGCTGCCAACTAAGACCGTCAACTTTCTGGACCCCAGGAACAGTAACTGCTGTCTTGGCAGCAACTAATAGGGATCCTAATAAATACAAATGCAAACTACTTTATCCCCCTCATCCTAAACTCACTCATGTTCAACTGATCTTTGATTAAATTGGTTTAATTCAATGTTTAAATTGGCTTAAAGTGTGTTTTTTACTGAAAGTTGACAATGGCACTTGTATGGAAGGATGTAGGCGTGGGGGGAGAGAGTGGATAGATGGGTCTAGATGGGTTTGGTTGACGGAACTCCCTTTCCTCCTCCTTTCCTTCTCTTGATCAGTAATAAAGTTAATGTAATTCCTGCATTTTACCTGTGATCCAAAATTAAATAAAGTTTATTATTTTATAAGTTAAAAGCTAAGACAAAATGAGATTTCATGACATGTATTTTGTCTTTACACATCTATTCACTACTGGTCAAATGCAGTCACCAACCACTTCAGCTAGCATTACCTGTTTTTAGGCCTGTTTTTAAAAATTTAAGGGAAAGCACTTTCGATTAACTGTCATAATGGTGAGCCAGCAGCAGTTGAGGATCGAGTTCTCGAATTGAACCAATGGAAGATGCTGAGGGGAGGACAACTCATAATAATGTCTGGAACGGTACAAATGGAATGGCAACAAACCAACTGTTTGATGTATTTGATACCATTCCACCTATTCCGCTCCAGCCATTACCACAAACACCTCCCCAATTAAGGTGCCACCAATCTCCTGTGAATTGAACGGTTTATTAACCAGAACTCACATAGGCTACTGTTTGACCATAGCCTACGCCAAATAAATCTGTATTCAAACAACAGGTCTCCAACTCTCTGTTTGGATGTGAAAGAGGCAGAAAAAACAGAGGAGAGATACCCAGTGTACTTCTAGTCCTGACAGTGAGAGAGGAACAGAGGGGGAAGCATGTAGACAGGGGTGATTATACACAGTTAAGAGTGGGACAAATCTTTGTGACTGACAAGGACGGTTGTGGGTTTCAGGGGTTGATAAACTACCGTACCTGGAGTTGATTTCAGCGCCAGCATTTAGGAGGATGCTGATGCAGCCCCCTGAGGCAGCCAGGCTGAGAGGAGTGTAGTCTGAAATGTTACAGTGCTCCTTGTTGGCCCCACACAGCAGCAACAGCTTTACCACCTGGAAGGAATGGACCACAGGTTAGTCAATCCACAAAACACCTTTGGGGAATTTCCCTAGTGTTTTACCAAAAAGTTAAAAAGTCACTGATGTGGTGTTCAGGAAAGAAAATCTGGTTTAGTGAAGAGCAGCACCTCTTGTCTTCCAACAGAGCAGGCCAGGGAGAGAGGTGTGTTTTTGGTTCTCTCAGTCTGGGTTCTCTCAGACTGGGCTTCGATGTCCCCTCCTTTATCCAGCAGGATCTCCACCACGCCAACATGACCCACTGTGGCAGCCAGGCTTAAAGGAGTGAAACCTGGGGGCAACCGTTAGATTACTCTCCAACACCAACATACACAGATACAGACTCCCACTTTTACACAAAATGTATCAAGTTCCCAGAAAAATTGACAGAAATATAAAAATATAGCTACGTGGTGTGACGTATGTGCATCGATGTCCACAGAGGGGTAGAGGGGGGCCATGGAGGGTGGGGACACTGCGTTAATCATTACCTATAACGCTTTGATGCCTTGTGCAGACAACTGGTGTCTAGTTGTCTTTTGGTCAGGGAATTAACAAAGTTAGACTTATATTTACTGTTGGACTGATCTTTTGTGATGACAGGTGGAGGTGTTGTGATGTTGGAGGGTACTCTGTTGGCTCTTTGGGAGGAACCACCATGGCCAGGGCTTGGAAAGGAACTCTTCGTGCTTGTTTGGGTTAGGTAAGATGTATGGAGATATTACAAAAGTATATTTAGTATCAATATTTGTTATCAACTTGGTGTCAATACAACTCCATCCAGACAAATAAACAAACATGTTTGTAGAAGTACAGCAGTTGTTTGTCTGTTAGTAAACCAGTGGTCCCTACCTGAGAGGTATCATGGGAGGGGTGTGTGAGCTGAGATAGGTCTGGTGCGTGGACCGACAGGATATTGTTGGGGTAGTTGAGCGGGTAGGACACCACGATGGTCTGATCACCCTTAGCACCTCCTTGTCCTCTTCACTCTCCTTTCCTTCTGTGTCATCCTCGTTGCAGCTGGACCATTCTAAGATCTCACTCATCTTCTAACTGTCAGAGACCACCTTGAGATTGAGGAAATGCACAGCCCCATCCAACCCTGGGAGTAGCCAGAGCAAGTCAAGAGTTACAGATACATTTAATCTCAATTCAGTTGAGTAAGACATTTGATTTCTCAATAAGAATGCCCATTTAGTTCCTGAACTAGGTGGATTTGTGAGTGTAGAGCTCCCTTGGTGAGCCACTCTTACCTTTACTCGATGACAACTCAGGCTTAGAGATGCTGTACATGTTCACTTAATGGATCTCCTTTCTTGCCACAGTGTGACTGGAAAAACAACGCAAAAACATCTAAATGCATGCGAAATCAGCTAAAAATTTAACCAATTATGAGAAGACCGTATAAGCTAAAAGACATGCCTATTTACATTGCCCTTGGCTAGAACATGTATGACAGGGCAAAAATCAAACTATAATATTTGTAAACTGACCAGAATTTCCTTATACAGCACAAAAGTCGGATGCAAATTATCACTAAACATTGGTCCTTCTTGACTTTCATTAGAGGGGTTCTGTCTCCCTCTGATTCATGTTCCTGCAAGACAAACAGAAAGACAGGAGTGAGTAAAACGGACACATGGAAACACCCAGGCTGCTTCCAAAATGGCACCCTATTCGATATAAAGTGCAATACCTTTGTCCAGAGACCTATGGGACATTTTTAAAAGTAGTGCACTATAAAGGGAATATGGTGCCATTCGGGAAGCACACCCACACTTATGCAAACGTGTGAACAATTCATGCAAAAAGGCTGTGTATTGACATGAACTGTGTTTCCCCAGAGATGAGGCCAGGCCAGAGGGTGAGGTATCACCAGGTCAGCCCCCTGTCTGCAGCAGCACGTCAGCCACTTGTGTCTGTTCTTACAGGCCTACGTCAGCGTCGTGTCTCCAGTGGCCGTGGTGGTGTGGACATTGGCTCCTGAGGACCAGTGGTGTGTATTCATGGATGCCAAGGGAAGCCAGGCTTCCCCCCCAGAAAATGACAAAAAACATTAATTAATAAATCAAATAATGAATCTTTCGTCTCTCTGTGTTTCGTAATTTTCTTTCAATTCGCAAGAGGCTGAATGGATCTCACAGGAGAAAGCTTCCGAGCGAGCGAAACAGCGCCCCTCTGTCTCTCTACGTGTAGGCCATCTATCTGATGCTGTCTGTTCCAAAACGAGTATGACATTGTTGCCGCCCTTAGCATTGAAGGCAAAGGAAGCAAGCGAGCATCTGGCCTCCCATGACAAAAAAAAGTATAAAAAATTAGCCAATCAGCGTTGAGCTAAACGGAGCAAGCTCAACTGTGAATGGTCTTGGCACACCCCAAAAAAGTGTAAAGGGAAGCCAGCTTGGATTTGGCGTCACTCCTATCAAATCCCATTGAGAGCATAGGTCATTGACAGAAAAACTTGAATTGTTGCATCTCGTTGTTTTGCTGTCCTCCGGTGGCTAGGTATCCAGCTAGCTAAAATTGGTCCTTAATTAGCCATGGATGGAGATAGGGATTTCGACTTGTGGTTTTACTTAATTCTCCGTACTGGCCAATGATTATAACAGCGATTCTGATCCAACCATTAATTCATACATTATTGTGCCCCTGACCTGAGAGGATGGAAGTTCAATAGCTAGATGCAGAAGGCTGATGTTAACTAGCTAACATAGCCCATGAATGGAAGTTAGGCTAGTGAGCAAGCATTTTAGCCAGGTACCCTAGGACAACAAAAAATAAAAGCGTGCACTATATGACAGAGTGATAGGCCATTTCATCAACATGAAAGATGGCATTGGCGTTTCGCTACAAGTAGGGTGACGTAAATGTAAATGTAAATGTGAGTCAACATGTTTTTCTACTTGCACGAACGCGCACGCACACAGAAATCAGAACCATGGACAGCCACATCATATTTAGCTTACGTTGATTGGACTAAATTGTTTTGTCACTGTATTAGACTTAGCAGAGGTGATTGGATGAAGTTGAAATGGTCCTGGAATAGTGGAGGCAGCTACTGTTTTCTTTGCAACTTGTGGTAACTCTCTGTGGTTCTAAAGCAATAGTTGTTTAGTGGTCCGAAAATGTCGGAAACATTAACTCGCTTGACCATGCTGTAGGTCATGTAACTGTCTATTACTGTACATGCAATATGTTTTGTGGACTCCACTGGACAGAGGTTGCTATCCAGTTTTGTGATAAAACAAATATGTGGTTGAATTTATTCTGCCACTGTCTTCTTATTGTCTCGGCCTTTAGGCCTATTTACTGTATCACGGTCGCAAGGCATATTAATTAACAGGTTATAGAGCAAACAACGCAATTATCAAAACACATAGGTTGAAATATGTATTTTTTGGCTTCCCCAGTCATTTTACCCACGCACCACTACTGCTGAGGACAAGAACACAGGTGTCAAAATACATACTGAGGTTTGTGTGTATGATCAAGATAACAAACTTGAGGAAATGTTGGTTTTGGTGATAGCCAAGTGAATTTCGATAATGTATGAATTGAGGATGAGAATCTCAAATAGAGGTTGGTAAAGTTTGGTTTGAGAGCCAAACAGAGAGGCTGTCCAGTTAGGAGAGGTTCTGCTCACCTGCAGCCAGCAGGTATTCAGCTCAGGGTGTTGAGCAGCCCAGCTCGATGTTGGCCCTAGCAGGGCCGTCTCCTCTGTCTGAGCATTGATGTTGGCACCTGCAGAAAACAGAGACAACAGAGGGAGGATTCAAGATAGCTTTGCTGGGAACACATTTTTAAAGGAGTACTAATCTATTCCCACTGTTGGTTATTGACCTCAGAAAAATGACTTGTTTTGCATCAATTCAATAAGATCACAAGCTTAAAAATGTATCAGAATATAATCATATCACTTCATCATTTTTCCAAAAGAGAGGTTTTGCATTTTGCCTCAACACTGAGCTTGGACAGTTAATATGGTAGGTAAAATCTCTGAACGGAAGCACTGGTTTAATTAAGAGCGAGAGAGAGCGAGACTATGAATGGAGTGTATCCCTCATCGTTGACCTCCTCCAGCAGGGCAGCCAGCTCTGTGTCCCCCACAGGCCGTTAGCGTCAGCGGAGACACAAATGAGTCAGCAGGCATGTTGATCTGTGTCCCACTGTCCAATAGCAGCCTCGCCACCTCCACAGGCTCGTTCTGAAGAGGGGCAGAGGGGCAGGCACGACAGGGGTCACCATCACAGCCATACTGCACCTTGTTCAATTTAATAGTGATGCACTACATTTGTTTGTGTGTGTGTGTACTCATCGAGTAAGGGTAAGGGGGGCTCACCTAGGGACAATTTGAAAGGTATTGTCCCTAGATGCTGGATGTAACTATGAACTGGATGCTGGATGTATTCCTTAAGATTGTCATATTATTATTCATTCATGCTGAGGAGGGCAATTTCATTCATAATTAAATGGAGAGGAGATGTAATTCTCAGTGGTGGTCCTTCACTCACAAGTCAAGAATTGTACAGAACCAAACTGCTTTTAATATTATGCCAATCATTTGTACACACTTAGTGTTGGACAGAACTATATTTGGATCAACAAAGCATTCCATAGAACAAACTAGTGATTAATGAACTAGACTTCATAGCAAATTCATATTTTTGTCTCCTCTCCCCTTTGTCATGGTTTCCAATTTCCCCCCACTGCCAGTCATGTATATTCATATACAGTGCCTTCAAAAAGTATTCGCACCACTTGACTTTTTCCACATTTTGTTGTGTTACTGCCAAAATTTTAAATTGATTAAATTGAGATGTTTTTGTTACTGGCCTACACACGATACCCCATAATGTCAAAGTGGAATTATGTTTTTCGATTCTTTTTTCAGATTAATTAAAAATGTACAGCTGAAGTGTCTTGAGCCAATAAGTATTCAACCCCATTGTTATGGCAAGCCTACATAAACTCAGGAGTAAGAATTTGCTTAACAAGTCACATTTGTATGGACTCACTCAGTGTGCAATAATAGTGTTTAACACGATTTTTTAATGACTACCTCATTTCTGTACCCACACATACACTTATCTGTAAGGTCCCTAAGTTGAGCAGTGAATTTCAAACACAGATTCAACCACAAAGACCAGGGAGGTTTTGCCTCGCAAAGAAGGGCACCTATTGGTAGATGTGTAAAAATAAAAAAAGCAAACATTGAATATACCTTTGAGCATGGTGAACACTTTGGATGGTATATCAATACACCCAGCCACTACAAAGATACAATTGTCCTCCCTAACTCAGTTGCCGAGAGGAAGAAAACCGCTCAGGGATTTCACCATGAGGCCAATGGTGACTTTAAAACAGCTACAGAGTTGAATGGCTGTGTAGTTACTCCACAATACTAACCCAATTGACAGAGGGAAAAGAAGG